TGGATTAAACCGTGAGTTGCCGTTCGAACTTCCACGAAATAAAGGAAACGGGACAGTTTTGGAAATTTTGTGAAAGAAAATTCCGAAGTAATTTTGTCGACCCTTCGTGGTAGTTTAATTCTACCTTATACTGCGGCACGTTGTGCGTCTTCATTATCACGAGCTCATTGTTTTAGGATTACAAAAAATTACAGAGAAAAGGGGTCACTCGGAAAGCCACTGTGCTTTATTTTCAGCTGTCGAGCGAGAAATCGTCGCGGAAAAAGCGTAGCGTCAGTCGCGTCGGAATGTTCACCTTTAAACCATAAAAATTCCAAATGTTTCCATATAGCCACGATGAAACGGATAACGTCACGAGTGATATGAAACAGAGATCAGTCGTGTATTACGATAACGTTCCAATACAACAGAAAACCAGAAAAGCAGACTTACATGCTTAAATATTAGAGTTAGAGAACAAAAAATATTTCCCATCGAGATGATCATCGTATGATCGTTGAAATGTGCATTGAACTGCCGATTTTCCCGCAACGCTTGACCAAATTAACCAAAATGGGGCACTGTTTGCCGTCCCGCGTTTCCAATATAGAAAGGGGACTCGAATTTACACGCGAAAGAGACTAGATCGCTGCACGAGAACTCGTTCGACTCGATTCCATTTCATTCCAATCCATTTTCCTCCCGTTTCATCGGTGCGCAATGGCAATACTGACCCACACACGTCGCGTTGCAATTATTCAAGCACCATTGGACACCGCCGTATGCACGCTCGCGCCCAGAACGCCTGCTATTCGCCGGCGTTTCAACACTTGACAGAGCCTGCCTGCGCGAATTAGCCTCGTTTGTCGCGAAAGCCTTAATTGCTCATTAATTCGTCCCGGGATTGATTAAATTTTGATCGGAACCAACGTCTCAGCGAGAGTAATTGATCGCCGAGAAGTGTTCCTCCTTAAGAGAGTACTCCGGTAGCTACGAAACAACTGCGGCGTTTTTAGAAATTTTGTAAGATGACTGCTAAAGGATTCTCGAAATAGAACTTTAGGGTTTAAACTGATCTTCTAGACCGATCTAGTAACAACTTCGATATCATTCGTGTATCGTTAAAAAAGAAAATTCTAAGGTCCCTTTTAGAAAGCCCTTTATTCATTCATTCTGTGCCAGTACGCGGTTCCCTTTTAAGTATCGACTTTATTACGCTGGCGCGCACATTGGAATGGTTTAACACTTGACACCTTTTCTTTAAATACTCCCGTATTTCTTTCTGCCTTTCGCATTTTCTGTTTCAAATACCCAGTTCACAGACCCCGTTATAAAGTCTGTGCTTTCGTCCAGTTCCCTGACAAAGGAGAGGTTAACGAGAAACAGAGGCGTAGTTGTAAAAGTAATTGCTGACTGTGTGAGGTGGCTACGCGAGTTCTTGACGAATACCGTGTGTAAGCGCTGTGGAATAACAAAGGGTTTTGAGAAAAACGTCCGATTGATTGCCAGGGACACGGAAGAGCGCGATTCCGGGTTTAAAATGACGCTAGGCGACGACGAAACACGTGTATGGTTGACTGTTTCGCGTTAAACGAAGGTTTTATTATTTATGCTGTATTTTCAATTCACTAAACACGTTCGCGACCCCTGACGCGAATTCGCGTCACTTTGAATTTTATTCCAGCTTTAGAATTTTATTATTTTCGTCAGTAGTCGGCATTAGAAACTTAAAGTACCTATCGGTCGCGAATGTGTTAATTTCACCTGTCTGACTTCAAATAAACTAAGGAATCGTTAGAATCCAATAAATCCGCTAAGTAGACCTCCGTTCCCTAAATTAAAAATTAGATCGAGAATAGACTCGACTTATCCTCGATTAGAATGTTGGTTAACGGAAACTTGGTTGTTTGATAAACGAAACTCATCACGATCGTATCCCTTCGTTGAACTTCGTTTGAATTATAAACCTACGAGGCACGCAGGCTAGTCGTCGAAGTTGCCCTCTTGTTTAATCTCATTAGAAGCCCTTTTGTTCTAAGAATAAGTTTGACGAACTTCATCGCGCGCTGCGCATCGTGGAGGCCCTCTTTCCCGAGTCAAGTTAAATCAAATCTGTGTAACGGCGATCCTATTACAAGAATTTGCGATTTTGCAAACAGCGCTCGAGACCTTTGATTCCACCCCTAGGGAAACTTAGTAGATCGAAACTCAAGAAATCCTATCTTGCTGTATAATTACGTGGTATTCGATCAAAATCTCACGTAGGAAACATAACCGTGCAATTTAGTAGATTGAACCAGTAGAGCCACAAAATATATTTTATACAAGTATATTTAATATTTGAAAGTAAACTGTATCATTTAGTACTTCTCCACCTGTTTAACTACGGTTTTTTAATACTGTCCACCTCGTTAAAACGATTTTCATGGAATGTGAGTATTACACGGCGGTGCCATGTTACATGCAAGTACTCTTATTTCCAGTGTTAATCTAACAAACTGAAATTACCTTTTTTAATTAACTTCACTCGCGTTACATACTGCTTTTCCTGTACTTATTTCTTACATATAGAAATAGCGAAGTAAAGTTAAATAATTCCCATCGAGTACGACACGGTACAACGTCGAGTCCGCCAAGACTGTTTTATTTCTCATTGTCTAGGAAACTTTAGTATTTTATCTTTCCCAGCACGTTTGTTTTCGTAACCATTTATTTGCCAATGCCATTTCACAGCAAGGCGCGTTGCTTTCCAAAAGGCACAATCTGCGAGGCGGAAACGCACGCGGTTTACATGGCACACTTTGGAATAAGGACTTTATTGAAAGTTGAATGTGTCGTCCCTGAATGTGCACGTACCTATATAAAGATGCGACGCGGCCGTTTTACGGGGATACAAACTAAGCTGCTTACTTAAATTCGGAACTGGAACCGTCCGAATATTTGAATATCGGAAATGGCACCTGCGCTCTACTAGAAAGTGGCTCCATTCTCGCGAAATCCGTGTTCGAGGACGCGTTGTTCCGCCTTGGGAATTAGAATTGCATGGCTACGTTCGCGGCATTAACAGTTCCATTGAAATAAATATCATGGCGCCTGCTAGAGAGCGACTTTCTGCTCGATATCAAAAATTCGCATATCGTCGTTACTAATTCGATATTTTTACTCAAATATTAATCTAGCGATACTTGGCGCCGCTGGACCGTATTCTATGGACCCGCTTGAAAAGTAAATTTATAGATTTACAAGAAACGTTAACCTTTTCAGACCTGGGCGTCCACAATTTTGGGGACACAAAATTACAAAATTACCGACACTGTCGTTAGTATGTGAAAAAAAAAAATAATTCAGGTCTGAAAGGCTTAAGAAATGGAATCCCAAAGCCTCTTAATCCTTCGTCTCCAGTTTGGCCCCCACGCGTCACAAAGCGTCAGGTGTTTGTTGCTCAGCCCTTCTGGGGTAAAAGTTTGCCGATCCGTGGTCTAGACGAAAGATACTGTCGCAGCTTCCCGAGTGTTTACGCAGAAAGGGTTACGAAACCCGGAAAATTCCCATTACACGGATTACGATCTGCCGTCGCGGCGATAAAAATAAACCGTCGCCCTTGCTACCTATAATCTCGTTCGAAGCAAGGGTCGCTGACGAAAGCAAACATTACTTCCGCGCAAACGATGTTAACCGAGCAAACGAAACGTTGTGTGCCCCGTAATGGCGATGCAACGATTAACAAATATCGTTCGATTGCTCCGACCTACAGGACCTCCCTTCAGGTGTGTCCACTTGCCCGTGTCCGATCTCCGGGGCGGAACGTTGTTGATCGCGATCCGATCGATCTACGCCAATCATCCAAGGAAAAGAAAACACGACCGAGAAAAGGAATAAAAAAAAAAGGAAAATAGGCGTCACTCGCGAGACTCGACCTGGCGCGTCTTTTTACATGTCGTCACGAACGCGCAACAGGTAAATGGTGATACACTAAGATCGCATGCCGCAATTAATTTTTTAATGCCCCCGCTCGGTGTGCTCGTGACCTCGACTTTTCTGGAACTCGAGGGGAACACGAACCAGACGCCGCGGGTCGCTCGTTTGGGCCAGCAAACGCGATGGAAATGGAGGAAATCGAGTTTAGAAAGATTGGTGAGATGCGTTAGGACATCTTTGGATTATAAGAACTACTGTATGCGGGTATAAATAGTGATACGCTGTGATCGCACGACGTAATAAATACTTTTAATTCTAGAGATCTCTGTTTGGTACTCGTGACCTCGATTTTCTAGGAACTCCCGGTTAACATTCCTGAATCGTAAGAAATAGTAAACAAGACTCTACGGAAGAGGGGAATAACGACCGTTGTGCGATCGAAGGTTATGCCTGAGATTCGAAGATCTTTGGATATACATAGTAAACAGCCAATTGCATGGGTATCCCTTATTGACACCCGTGAAAAATTCGTGAAAAATCCAGGGTATGTATAAGGTAGGAAGTCTGTCGCGAGGAGGTTGAATAAATTCGGCGTCGGTAGAAATTGAGTGACGCTGCTCAAAGGAAAGGGGGACGCGCCCTTTCTGGGTGTCGGAAGTGACTGACACTCGTTTTCGGACAAATCGAGGGGTGGTGGTCTTTTTATCGAGCACACCGGACAGGAACGACGATCGAATAGCGATCGTGTGCTACTTTGTGTAATCGATTTAACCGTATATTTCGATCGTGAACAGTCGAAAGAAAAATAATTCTCGTTGCTAGAAAAACAGGTGACAAAGATTTCCTTCGTATTCTCTAACAGGGAAGAAAGTAAAGCTAACATATCGAATGAAACATTTCTACGCCGCGACTGATTTGTGATAATACTGTCCCATTCGAAGAATCATTTTCTTCCATTACAATTCCAATAAGAAGTATACTTTATAAATGTTTAAGATTTATAAAGTCTATAAAACTATCGATAAATTTTAGTCCAAGGACGGTATTATACAATAAGGATATTATTATAAAGCTGGACTTTTGAATAAATTGTCGCGTCTTACCTTATGGTGGATAAGCGATATGTTGTTTGGAGTGCGGAATAATACACCTCAGTCTTCTGTGCGTATTCGTCAAGAGCGGGGCGCAGCACAAAGGTGTTGATCTTCTTCTCAATTCGGCAACGTAGAAGGTCATCACTTCGTGCAACACCATTGCAATTGACTTGCTTCACTAGCCAACTCTTCACCGAACGATTTATACAGAGTCACGGACGTCCGATCGAGCCTCGTAATCGATTGTTAAGCGTGCGAACACTCGCGAAACTCGCGATGGTTCGTCAATGTGCAAAGTCACTGCACTTTGCGACTCCTTTTGCAACTCGAACAGGCCACAGATTCGTCTGAAACATCACACGTTCGACAATGAACCTCGTCTCCTAGCGAAACAAAAGTCGATATCCGATTCTAATCGCTCGCTACATCCTCCTACAAGATTTTTCTTTAATTTCGTGGATACAAAATTAATAGACGATTCTCCGAGTTTTAATTTCTCGGACGGAACGAGCGATGTAAACTTTGGGAAGGTTTTCTTTCATCGAACTGCCCCGATTGCGCCAGAATTCATTCTGATTCCTACGACCCTTAGTTTCTACATCATCCCTCGGATTGAGTTCTGAAGATCTCCCAATTGGATCCGTGGAAACTTCCAAGTCCTTTCCGCGGAAGCGTATCGATTCCTATTGAACGAAAACCTGGCTCTCGCGAAACAGCAAAGTGAACGTGCTTGGTAAAAATAAAGAAGGTAAATAGTTTAATATGCTTATCAAATTATTCAACAGCTACGGCAGTACGCTAATTTCCTTCACTTTTATTAATGAAGATAAAACATCTACGATGGAGGAGAATGAAATCTCGTTATTCTCTGGTGCTCGTCAAAATTTGTCTACACAATCAGAAGTAATGTTTGTCTTTCTAAGTCTACAAGAATGATTAGGTTAACGAAGAAGGGCTGGCAAGAAAAGCAACAGAAAATAACCACGAAAATTTGATGTGACACTAACTCGTACAAATTCGACAAAAAATACACATATCTCTGTAATTCCGTCAATAAAACTAACAGAGCGAAAGAACTCTCGATAACTTGAAGAAAAAGAAACGCGTCTCTCATGTTGAATCATCAGAGAACTCTCGAATTCGTCGGAACTCGTTAGAGCTCGTCGGAGCCCAGTTTTCCACGACCCCATGTGTCTTTCTAGCCTACAGATTCGCTAACAAGAGAAAAGAATTAACTAGGAGAAAAGTGCATAACGAGAAAGGATGCCAAAAAAAAAAAAAAAAAAAAAAAAAACTACCAGAATCACGAAATTCGGAGTAACATCACGCTGAACAGATTCAAAAACGATTTCACCCGTCTAGAAAAATACGCAAGTACGATTCCTCACTTTCGTCGATAAAACCAAACACTCGTCGAATAAATAAAACACACGAAGCTTATAAACCCTTTGAAAAAGTCCGGAACCCGTTCGAGCTCGTCGTAGCGCAGTTCTCCGCCAACGAATTTCGCCCAACTAACATGTGTCTACCCCGAGGCGTACAAGAACGATCGAGTCCTCTATCAAGGAGACCAGAAAGCGTTGGAACCCAAAATAAATACGAAACACGAACGCAAACGTACTCGCTTCTTACGCTCGTTACCACTTGTTATCAGTCGTATGCGTGACGCATCAATCACGTTCGAGCGTCGCTCGAGGTCTCGATTCAACGTCTTGCACGCGCATGTATATACACATGCACACGTTCGACGACGGGATCAACAAACAACACACGTTTCGGAGCAGCACGGTTTCGCGCGGCGACGACGACGACGGCGACAACGGCGACGACGAGGACGAGGACGAGGACGAGGACAACGGCAGCGCAGCAGGACGAGAATCATGACTCGTCTCTTCCGTCCATACCGTCGTGCCTCGGGTACGTCTGGGATCCTCTCAGCGTCGCGACCTCGAGGTTTGTTCGTCGGGATTGATGGGAACGAGGGTGACTGCGGTAGCGACGACGGTAGCGGCACCAGGTGAAACGCTGCTCTCGAGGCGTGCGTTGAGCGTGAAGCACTGTTTACATGCGAGGAGGGGCGCCATGGTCACTGCCGCCACTTGGTCCTCGTCACCGATTCACCACCGTGATCCTGGCTCCGTTGTCCCTCGTCCTGGCGGCGCCAACGCGTGCCGCGTCCTCAGCTCGGGCACCGTCGATGTCATCGCGACGAATCGCGTGCGATCCGTTCATTCATCTCCGCGACATTGCTCTTCCGTCGATCACACGCATACACCCATCCCTCCGTTGCCACACCGCGTCCGTGTCGCACTTCCGTCTCCGTTCCCCTAACGTTCAGCTTCCTTATCCATCCAACTTGCGCGCAACGTTAGCGTGTCTAGCTTATCCCTGTCTCTGTTCAGCTAACCCTCTCTGTCACTCTCTCCCTCTCACGCGGCTGACCGAAGCGACACGAGTGCTGCTCCCGAGTAGTGCGACGCGTGCCAAAGCTCTCATTAGACTAAGCTCCGATAGAACTAGCGCCACGCCCTCCACGTAGGTGGCAGCACATGCTATCATCTCGCGGACTCCCACGAAACTCGTTTCATTCCCCACCAAAAACCCCTCCACCCCACCAGACGGTCGGTCTTCATCCAGTGGCTCATCCCTTTACCACTTTACCCTTGCCCTCTTGTATGCTGTGCTCTTTCTCGCTCTTGTCTCTGCTCCGTTTATATTTACTTACGTGCCGAGCACTACGATTTTTTCCTATCCCCGTGCCCACCTGCCCTCTTGCCCTCTCTGCAACTTTTTCCACCCCACAGCGGGGAAGAGAGTTTCGCTGCGTCGGGAACTCTCGTTTCGGGAGCTGGTGCTTTTACTTTTTCTGGCCGTTGTTCGGTGTCACAGACGGGATGTTCCGGTGTCGGATGAAATTTCACCCCCGTGGTTGCATTTCTCGATGATTCGAGGTGTATCCGCAGCGGTGAATTTGGAATCGAAGGGGCGGAGAGAAGTAGTCGGGACAATTTGGAACACGAATTATATAGAGATTAATGTAAAATATACACCGCGGATCATAACTGTAGCACAGTGTGCTTTCATTAATTATCCAGATTAATCACTGTATTTCGTAGAATCATTCTCATAGGGAATACAAATTTCATTCATTTGTTGCTCAAACGAATTCTATATCCGAACGTAAATACTCCAGGAACCGAGAAAGTTTGTTCGTTTTATACCTGTGGCGGTTTTATGCATGATAATGCATTTTTCATCATTTTCAAACTTTAAGTTACTCCGTCAGGCGTCTCGTAAATATTTATTACCTGAGTCAATCGAGAGTCATCCTCGATTAGGTATCCGTTTGGTACCGGTGTCCGCACTAATTTATAAAGTCATACATGTACCGCAAAAGATTGTAAACAGGCTCAAGATTCTTAGAAATTTTCTTCGAAAGTCAAACGTTTAGAAATATTCGAAAATTGTCTTCTCGAGAATCGAGAACAGGAATTGGTTAAAAAATCTCGAGAATCCCCGAGACGGGATTCTAGAGCACAGCTACTAACAGGAAACTCCTGGAAAAATAACTCTGTACAAAAAAAATTCCTGACGAAAAAAGTATTAACATTAAAGTTGTTTCGAAGGGATACTTATACTTGTCTATACGATTTTCATAAATGTGTTGGGAATCTTCCGTTATTTTTCAACACTTTCATGTTTCATATCTCCTCGTTCCTGTTTACTTATACACGTTCGCCCTATTTCCGTCCCTAGTTCTCACCCTTCGTTCGATCCAGCACCCCTTTGATACGTTCGCTACACCTACAACTATTATTTTCCCAATGGATTCCTGGCGTCACGTGTTCTTTTTTCATTTCTTTGTAACGTGTTTTTTGTTACCTTTCTCGGAGGTTTCATCGCGATCCATTCTTTCGGCGTTGGCTTTACTGTTATTATTATTAAAAGCACTTTAATCGCGATGGCTTGATTCTAATAAATAAAAGATAGTAATTCGCGAAACAGGAGTAATTCGTATGGGTATCACGTTGCGTTTCAGTGGGAGGGTACGTGGGTGCTGGGTACGTGCAACATCGAAGTTGTCTCAGAAGGAGAAATATTGTACGTTCTCAATACTTCGCAGGAAAACGAGAACCCATGTTAAAACTGTAAAGACGATCAATTTATGATTGCCTCGCGATACAATGCTAGGGGAATACCATTAAAAGCGTCTCAAAAGTAAACGATTCTATGCGTAAAACTGAATAAAAAAAAAATGGAATAAACCTTTCCAATACATATCACCGTTTTCGAGAAAATTGATGTAAAAATTGTTTGGGGCACGCGAGTGTTTTCTTCGAATTTATTTCGAAGGCCATTCATATTTACCAAGTTTGTTCCCAATATTTCGAGGTGATAGTTTATTAGGACTGTTTCATATAATTAACTCCGTCGATTTTATTTATAAATGAGACACAGACGTGCAGAGGGACGCGTGAAGTTCAGACTTCCCATTCAAGCGCGCGCGCGTAGCACACGTACTTCACAAATCGATTTTCTCGAAAACCGAGCCTCCTATAAAAAAATCTTTACTCTGCGTTTTCGACTTATTTTTTATGACAGCGATAACGGTAGTTTCCTGAATGTACAGAAATACAACGTTCTCCTTGCGAGTGTGTATCGATGTTTGTCACTGTACAAGCTTCTATTAACGTTCCTCAATTATTTGGAGCCTTTTATATAAAGAGATCGATAGCAAAAGGTCCGACGAATCACAGATTTTCTCTCAACGTTAGGAAAATCGAAGGCACAATGATTGGGTCGTTTCGACGAACTTGCTGGCAATTAGACTTGCAGATGGCCTGGCCAGAGTATTTCACCGTCAGATCAATCTTCTTTCAGTGCACACTGCCGAGCCGTTTTCGTCTATCCGTGCAATTTCGTGGCTCTCTGGTCGAGTTAGGCTAGATAATACTCCCACGGACGGGATTAAACGAGAAGATAATACTTCAAATGTTAATTGCCACTCTATATTTGGTTTTGCCAATCCATCGGATTGCCTCGATCTATACGCAGATCATGTACAGCGATTTAGCTGTGTGTGAATTCAAGTTGCTTCGGCTTAATCGCTATGAGATAATTGTTCGTATGCGTTGCCCTTAATAATCGTACGAAATCTTCTGAATTAGAAAGTTAAATGGAAATTAAACTAGATGTCCTAGTTTATGTTTCTTATGGGAAAATGGAAATCTTGTTAAAAATAGAACTCTGTTGCTCGAGAGAACAAGCTATTTAAATTATTTATATAGAGCTTTATGCTACATCGACTGATGTTAGAGCTTGATACAAAAGCTGTTTTATTACATAATGTTACAAGAGGAAATGTTGAGCCAGAATAAGTACGATCAGAATAATGTACTATTTCAGTTTCGTCCTCTGCTTCTCCTCTGTCACTTCTATCGAGCAGACTTGTAGGATATTGAACCCTCTGACCAAATAAGCTCGAAAAGCATAAGTTGAGAATCGCTATTTATATCTCTGCGGGTTTTACAATTGCAAGTTTCATGAGGCGATCACATATCGAAACGTTACACTCGTATTTGAACCTTTGAATTTATACATTGCAGTTAAATCTTAATAATTATCTCTGTAACATTATATAGACCAAGACATCTTGAATATATGAATTTTCATTTAACGTTAAGCTGCCTGTCTTCTCGGCAGGTGTCAGAAGGCTCTGGTTGATGTACTGTAAATTTATACAGCCCTCAAAATAATTACAGGCTTGCCTGATCAAATGGGCTCACCTGGGACGAAGGCATCCAATATATTAGGCTCTACGAGACTCTACTACATCTACTATGAATCTATATTCTATGTCCGAAATAATTAAAATATTACGTCGTTGTTTTGACATCTCAGCTCAAAATTAGTATTAATCGACCAATAAACGAAGCAACCAAGCAACGAAGTGAGTTAATAGAACGATTGCGTAAATGGCTAGGGTTGTTTGACATGTAGTTGTTCAATGAAAGCTACACACCGTGATGTGGGTCGACGACTTGTATGCCTAATCGTCGTGGCTCGTAGAACAATGGCCGATGGTCGTTGTCGCAACAGTTTGCCTTGTCGACAGTGAAAACAAATGACCTAATTGGTTCTCTAAAGGTTGACCCGTACGATAAAACGACAGCAGGGATATGCTGCGCATGGTTACGCATCGCGGCATTTCGTTAAGATCAAAGGATTCCGATGGATAGGGTTGTTTCCAGAAATTTGCGCTCCGCCATCACCCGCCCGTCGATTTCGTATCGAATTATCATTTGAAGTATTTTGTATCTATACGTACATAATCAAATGTCCATCGTTAATATTTAGTAACACTTCTGAAAAGATTTTTTTTTTTCCAGAGAATAATTTTATATTTTCGGAATTCATATTTCGAGTTGTATTCCACGGGAACACTTCTTTGCACCGCTACAAAAATATTTAATAATAAATTATTCCAAAACACATATTTCGTTTACTATAATACAATTATTTCTTGTACCTTATCATGCAGGGCCTTCTCAGGAAAAATGATCCTGCGAATACTTGAAAATATTAACATTATCGTAATACTTGGTGTAACGGCTGATACGAATTCCAACATTATTTTCAGTAAAACATGAAACGTGACAGACAGTGGAATGATGATCAGCAAATAATAAAGTGACCAAACTTTCGTGTAAACTCGTTCTCGTCCATCGTATCGTTTATTAACAAGGAAACAGTAATTAAAATCTGTACAAAACACGTATTTAAATGCTACAAACTACCTCGAACCTGTTCGAGCTTTCATATTGCCATTAGTGACGTTGTAGTGCAAAGTTAACAATGCATTTGCACCAGACCCTGCTGTTATTAAGCTGGATTCGCATTGTTCGTCCATAGACCACCGGTTAAAAAATTCTTCGTAGTTTATTTAGTCGAATGATATCACGATCAATGAAATAAACGCTTGAAATTATTCACAACCTTTGAGAAGTGTACCTATGGCCTGACGCGTAACGCGAATCCAGCTTTAAACGTATTCTAAGATAAAGTATATTAATAATTATTACAAACACACGGTCAACTTTCTAGAGTAATCACTGTTTCAAAGAAAGATCCAGCAAGCAACACTTATCGAAATTCTTGGCGTGCGAATCTGTAAGAAGCTTTCAAAATCTTAGCGAACATGTATGTCTACGTGTAAAATATATAATACGTTAAAATATACGAGGAACATCTCGAAAGTAGAGGAAAAAATGCTTTCAGACGAATCTTTTTGAACAGTGCACCTGAGTTTTCGATACGTTCCGTTCTTCGTGCGATTCTTGGACTCGTTGCTCGTTCCAAGTCCTATGGAAGCTATGGTTGACCCATGGCTGACTGATCCTACTGAATAAATCTGCTTAAGTTTGGCTACCGATCGTTTCGTTTTTTCCCTAGGTAGATGTACACACTCAGAATGAAATATTTCCGTTTACAATGCTACTGTGCATCGATCTCTTCGAAAATAAAATCATACTTAACTTCTACTTCAAGATTTCAAGAGATTTCCATTTACTTATTCCTCACTCTTAAAAAAATTGTATACTTGCTACGTGTAGACTGCCTTCAAACAAGATATGTTCACTATAAGCCTCGCAATCTGTACGTAGCACATGGTAATTATATTTATTAATTGACAGAGCAAAAGCAAACTCACTCGATGTCACTATATCACCAGTATGAATATAAAATAAATGCAAATCTAGTAGCAGGTACAAATGGCAGGTATAAATAATTTTCCGTGCTAAGCATCGATGCTTCTTTCCTTTGTTCCTCGAGGAGAAGGTACGATTTATACTAATAATCATGCTGCATCGTATGACGCGCCTGATGCAATTATTTTCGAGGCATCAATCATTTCATTTGAATCATTATTAACCAGGTTGCATCTACTCAAAGATTTCAATTACACCTACTCCAGCACCCAAGAGACTAGTATAAAAATCTCCAATCCGAAAGGAAATTATGTAACATTACATATATACGACGCGTGCTATAAATAACAATCGTCGTAGGCTTAGCACACTTTTCAGGAAAGCATTCTATCTGTACAATTCTACATTCATCCAACAACGTGTGCGCCAAATTCAGCATATGGCTATGAGCAAAATAAATAATCAATATGATGGATAATAAAATGTTCCTTGCAAACCCTAATAAAAACAAAACAGGTACGATAATGTCAAAAATGGACCAGAGAAATTCTTTTCCATTTGATCTGAAATAAACTTGAAAAAATAATAAATCCTCGAGACATCTTGATTCGAAAGGTGTCTAAAAATAAAAATCAAAGTTACTTAATGGTTGACATAATAAAAATTACGGGTTGGTCTTTACAACCAGTGAACTTACACCATTCCATCCCCCAACTAATGATCAGCTCTAAGGGTAGAGCAGACAAAAATTGTCTCGAATTATTTATAAAATCACTTTTTTCTAGCACTGTAATCAGCACACAAGTGTCACCGTGGCAAGAGTAATTCTTCTCATCGTTTAGAAGCGCAGAGCTGTGATCGTCCACGAGTGCACAGATACGATCATCAGTCTTTCTTATTTTTTCGAGTCCTGATAAAAAAATGCAGTCTTGTTCAATATGCAAAGGCATATTGTAAACGCCGGCACTAGTCGCTGTCACCCTCGGAGGAGGTGCCAGGCGTCAGGGAGGCCTCCTGCTAGTCTTGATCCACGATCTCGCAGCTGTGGTACTTGCTGGATGAGTCCAACCAGCTCTCAACGCCGCTAGAAGCCAAATCGTCGCAGGAGGGCATCTCCGGCAGGGGTTCCATGTTTGGTGCTCCCTTCTTCGTGAGATTGTTCACTGGACGATCTTTCATGTTGGTGGTCACTGAAACGAGATCGATTTGACAAGATTAATTTAATTTCTGCAGATTTTTGCAGATTTCGTATATTACCATTGTCAGAGGATAATGAGGACTCTTTTCTACGGATCAGTGCCTGCCTGGATGCTCGTGGACTTCTGTATTCACCGCTTATACTTAACCCTGCACTGATGGTAGGAAGCCTGATATCCAGATGTGATCCTTTGTCTGTAACAATCTGACGAGACGTCGAAATGAAAGCAAAATGTTCATTTAAAACGTGGATTGTATTAGACACGAAAATAATGTGTTGTACAGTGACTGGCAAGTCTTTCAAAAAAAACCTTGAATATGATTGACGATTTTGGCTACCTTATTGTTCATAGCATACAATTTGGTGGCTATGTCCCTCGCGACCAGTGTTGTTAAAACTGTAGCGAGATACGCTTCTTTGACTAAAAGGTATTCCAACGCTGATCTCTGCCAGTATAAATATCTGCACGAACTGGCCGCAACGATTGATACCTAAACGAACATAAAATATAGACGTCAAATGCAAATTGGTACTCTGAACACGGTACTCGGTACAAATGTCTAGAAACATTTCGAAAAAACTTTGAAACACTTATAGGAATACTACAATTACAAAAGCAAGGCCTGCGGATATCGATAATGATACCTTTGTTGAAGCAATAAAATTTATATTCTCAGTAATGTTTTGTAGATGCAAATGAAAGCCTTGAAGCATACCAACGACACTAAGAAGGCGTGGAACGGAAAATTCGTATACGAAAATTAGATAACGACCTGGTAATTTAGATAAATCTCGGAATTCACCTGAAATTTGTCGTCGACGGACGCCCTAGAACTTTCGAATTCTGGCGAGTCCAAAAACTCGCAAGGCAGTATGGGATGCAAGAAATTCGAATCGCTTAGGACGTTCACTTTCCCGTTGAGCAGCAAGCCTAATCTGTCGGTTGGTGTCAGGTTCTGCATGGCGTAGGCCTCGCCAGCGTGCAGTGACATTATTGATGCAAATTCCGGAGATACCAACCTCTTGAACTGCAATCGAGATACCTGTTTCGACGACAGACACAGTTAACAACACTGTCGGCTTCTTATCGTGCAATAAACTCGATAATACACACAGTACATCATTTCCAAGTCGTGAATAATTAGAAATTCAGTAGAGAGTCTCTAAAATAAACTTTACTTTAAACGGGTAGAAAAGAGTATGATATGCTTCCTCCAATTCAGGATCGAATCGAACGGGTCTCATTTGATAGACGATGTAAACCAGCTGTCCGATGTTTAACACCAGGAAACTGAAGTTCCAGAAGAATATGTCCGGCGCACATATCACGTGCCATGCCCAACCAGACAGCAACATAAACCCTCGAAGAAAAATATTATCGTAATTATACAAAAACAATAAGAACTTGTCCAAAGAATTATTTCTCGCACTATTAGTTACTTAAGACACAATTGTTAAACAACTTTGGAGATCGTGTGAACTTCTGGACCAACCCAATCCATACAAGTACACTCGTCTTTCATTGACTTACCAATTATCAGGACAGAGTGCATAAACAGTATCCCTTTTCTCGAGGATGGTGCCGAGTAGGACAACATGAAACAGAAGTTCGCCAACTGGAACAGTATATGCTGCGGCTGCTGCCATAAGCACAGTGCCGTGTTGCCTACGGATGAATTTCGTCAAAATTAAGTCCAATCTACGGCGATTGATAAAATAACGAGTAGAATTTATGAAAAACGAACGAAATAGTACTGGTTGTTGCTTACCTATGGCAGAGATATTGTACGAAGGAAGGGGATCGTGTCCTAGACCAGGGCTCATGTTGATTAAAACGCTGTCGATGGCTGGCGCGAAAGGGGATGAATGGAACGGTGTTCTGGAAGCTACGCGTCCATGCTCACTGGTTTGTTTTGGTCGGAATTGTCAGTGATCACGTCCCTGTGCAGAGGCGCGGCGTGTGCCAAACTTCGGGGCGCTTGCGCCAGTCTTCAGGATCGATTCCCTTCCGCGTTGGTGATGCAGAGTTGCCAAGCGGTTGCAAGCACGGCGGCAGCTTCGAAAATGGCTAAAAGCATGTCTGTGGTTAACTTTTTCGTTCATCTTCCTTGAGACGATGAGATATTTGAGGATTTGCACGTGTTTTCGTGGTTGCTACCAACTAAAGCCTCGGGGTGTACGCTGTATCCCTTGGGGTGAAGTACTCAGACGTTTCGCCAGCATTGGAGCTGGCTTCTTCGTGGGTGACATTGATATTCTGCTACATTTCATTAGCAAAGGTAAGATTCTCGCGATCTGTCGCCGTCGCTGGGATATGGACCAATGTCAAGATACAGAAATGCTTAAAACGTCTATCGAATATATTGTTGATACAATGTCGAAGAAAGCTGGTGAAATGTTGGTGACTTCCTTGACTGTGAGTTGAATTTCATTGATAAGATCTATCAATTTTCTTCGAAATTAAATTTAAAAATAAATTTTTCGAGAGTTCAGTTATTAATGTATTCTACATGGTAACAGTGATGACATTGGTGTAAGCAATGCACAATCTCGTATGAATGTTAAGTTTCGCGAAGATTCAACCATTCATTTCCATACAAATGATTGCGCTATTATACGTTACATGAGCAAACTTGCTATTAAGAGATCTATATTTTTTTAACGACGATAGGTATGCGATAAACCGTACATGTCTCTTGGAAAGATACATTAATTTGCAATTCTGGACACCTGCAAACTGTTTATGAAGTCATTGTATAATACGTAAAATAATGGTTGCGGTTTAGGGGAATCACAGGATTGGGAATAATTAATATTACGAATTCTTAAAGTACATTAAATAAAATTTATCTAAAATAAATATTAAAATTATTATAAATATCTACTTACTTTGTAATAATAATGTCAATATCCTATCACATAGGCGTCAAAATAAATCTATTATACATAATATTCTAAATCTTGTTGCATCATGTTACTGATATAGTCAATACTTGCTCGAACAAACACGTCACAATAAAATTAATTAACTACATTCTCATACATCTAGATCTTACAGCTACCTTACTCCCTCTACCTTGTTTCATGAGCTTCCTAAGCTCATGATGCTGGGTTCTTCCAAACAGGACGTTGGCATCTATCCTGGCACAAGGCACTTGCCTGGGTGTCCTCTTCTTCTGAGATAACATCCTCGCCACGTCCACATTTGGTAGTTCAGCAGCACCTCTACCTAGAAAAGCTTTTCGCATTCTTTTCTTGTTTCGTCGCTTGTGGCGTCTCACAGACTGTCTTAGGCTCTTGTCAGAGCTGCAGACGTCCAGCCACTTGCGCGAAACTTGAGCAGCACACAAGAGAGACTCAGTATCTAACTTGCGAAGGATCAGTTGGGATACCTCCAGAGGCAGTTCAGAGATGAAGTCTACCTTGGCAGGTGCCAACAGTCCAATGACGCGAAGGAAAGACCTGAAGAACTCCATGTCGTCGCTGTTGTCGCAGGGACTCGAATGAGCAGCTCCTGAAAAATTAGGGGTATATATACCCCTCAACCCCCACTCCTACCCGTCACGGTTGACCACCCGTTCCGGTCCATTGATTCGGCCAATCACGATCGAGAACGGATGTTACGCATCAACGGTTCGGCCAATCAAATTTTAGAGCGCATATTCTTATGGTATCGAAATGTTTAACTCCTTGAGCGTTGACTTTTTATTATTTTCTAATAGATATAGGAGCGGTAAATATTTGATCTGTGCTTGGCTATAGTATTGTAGAGTATCACAAATACTAAAGGATGGCATGCAAACCTGAAATAACAATATAATACTTCGTAGGACTTTATGGAATACCTAAATACAGGTTGGAAATTATGACAAGCAAAACGTATTATCTGAGTTCGTGGCTTATCTGAGTGTAACTCCGCGTACACAGTGTTTGCTAAACATTTTGGCTTAACATTTAAATTACCATTACTTTTATCATCGGCAATGAGATAGGAATGTTCCAATGCCGCTGTTCGTTGTTTGATTAATGCTAGAAAACAATGTATTTCCTGGAAATTTACAACGACGTGTTCTTGCAGCGGTAAATACGTAATTCGCGTATAATCCCTGCATTTGGGGGAAGTATAATCCCTGCATTTATCGTTCAATCGAACATGCTGATCCGATAGAGGATGCTTCTAAGAAAGATGCTTTATATCTTAACACCTAGAAATTTGTATAGTACGCTCATGTGTCGTTCTCCAGCGATATTTCCACAATTCAAATCAAATATTCTCATAAATATTCATTACTCGACCTCAATTATTCAAATACTGATATTAATGTGTTTCCACAGTCTATCGTTTACATATCTTCATTACAGTCATAAACTGGAAGTTAAACGATAAATAAACAAATACAGACATATTGAAGACCCTAATGACTGTCCTATACGTATAATTTTGTATGTACTGTTTCCAATCCAGTTGTACTTTCGAGAAATATCCGTCTTCATTACCTTGTTACGATATTTTTGTTTACTCGTGACAAATTACGTCAATTAGCGCTATATAAGCACACGATGTGAAAGCATTGTCGACCATTCGATAAACTATTGATGGTCGTGTTACCCGAGAACACGACTTGTTAGGACCATCGATAATTTCGTCGCTATCCACGATGAAAGTACTTCTTTGTCTACTTGTTGGTGCAATATGCATCACGGGTGGTTATCTCTGCGAGGTAAAGACGAGCGTAGGGACTCTGAGCGGTGTACAACAGGTATCCAGTGATGGTCAAGTCTACTGGGCCTTCAATGGTATACCTTACGCACAACCACCGGTTGGCATTCTAAGGTTAGTGCCACTTTCACTTTATATTTATCTCGTTATTAAATATAATAATTGCGATTGCTTCTAAAAACTAAAAGATTTATGAATTTAGGAATATGTATTCGTTTCTCCTGAAATGACAAACTCTGCATATTATAGATTCAAAAGTCCAGTTGCCAAAGTACCATGGCTAGGTACTCTCAAGGCGGATAAAGATCGTAGCGAGTGCATACAGTACAAGAACGGTGTAATGGGTTCGGAGGATTGCCTTTACCTCAACGTTTTCACCCCACAGGTGTGGATGCATATTCTTTACCCATAAATGTTCATAATCAGAAACTTGCTAGCATCTGGATCCTGAAAGCATTAGTCATAAAAGTCGATAAAAGTTATCCACCAAAAGAGTGATCATTAATAGAGTGCTAGAATACGTGGATAGCTATTGTTGTAGGTACACTAAAAGTATTGAATTTTTTTTAGTTTTCAAGTTGTTTTGGAGATCATTGTTTTGCAAAAACCAATATACCCCTTTATGAAATTATTGAGACAGCTCTAATGCTATCGGCATATTATCGATGTTTCTCCCTTCAGGTGAAACGTGATGCTAGGCTGCCCGTCATGGTCTACATACACGGTGACACCTACTCGCTCGGTAATGCCAGCAAAACAACAACTGGGGCTGGATTCTTGCTCGACAAGCAAATCGTGCTAGTCACATTCAATTATCGGTTGGGAATCTTCGGGTTCCTCAGCACCGGAGACCTAGAGGCACCTGGCAATTACGGGTTAAAGGACCAAGTAATGGCCCTGAAGTGGGTAAAACAGAACATTCGTGAATTTGGCGGAAATCCAGAAGATGTTACAATATTTGGCGAAAGCTCTGGGGGAGAATGCGCTCACTTGCACACTTTTTCGCAAGGCTCCAGCAGTACGTATACAATTGTTATTCATTTAGTCCTATTTATTGTTTGAACCGCTATTCGGAATCACTCAAACAAAACTATTCGATCGTAATATCATCGATACTTTGATAAACATAATATAGTTTAAGTTAGTTTAATCCTACAACAATTTTATGTCAGTTCATTTGAGACACAAAATACTTCAATATCGATTGTTTATTTTAGAATTATTCAAACGAGCCATAGCTCAAAGTGGCGTCGCTCTTTGTCCGCGCTCGTTCACCGTCGATCCATCCTACTATGAGATGCCGAAAAAAGTAGCAGCAAAATTCAATTGTCAGACTACCAACTCTCTGCTGATGATCAATTGTCTACGTACTATAGACGCTGAAAAGTTGGTAGACACGAATTCCGTGTGGGACGAATTGTCTATTCTAACGCAGAATTTATGGAGGCCGACGAAGGAACCAGTGGGCCTCGACGCTTTCTTGACTGACTCCCCATGGAACTTGATTAGGAAGAATAAAATTAACGACTGTCCACTTGTGATTGGAAATGTGAAGGACGAGGGGACATTCTTTACTCGGTGTAAGTAATAGATATTTATTTTATAGCGGTAGAAAAGGTATATCTTGTGAAGGGAGTTTAACAATTCTGAATTTTCTAAAGCATCGCTATTTATCATTTCTTTCGCGTGCTTTTATATATTCTCTTTTACTGCGTCTAATACTATTAAACTGCAACAGCATTGCCATAAGTAATCTATTACCTAAATCTGCAGGGGTTCAACAGGATAACAAATTGTACGATAAAATTGTCAATGATCCAGTGAAATTTATAATACATTTGTTGCGTTCTTATGAGCCATTGCGAGAGGAATATTACAATACGACTGACAATACTTACAATATAACTGACATAGCTGTGAAGATAAAAGAGAAATACATGGGTGTCACATTATCCAAAGACAAAGATACTGTAAGTATAATAATCGAAACTCGTTCTATTCAAATATTATTCGTCCTAAGAATTGGTTCCTCTTGCTCTTTTTAGATCATCTACCAGCTCACGCAACTCACGTCAGACTATTTCTACACTTATCCGACACTACAGCTGCTGGAGAAACTGAAATCGATTAAAAAAGAATTGCTCTTCACTTACATCTTCGATTACCACGGAAAAATCACAAAATCGCTTAGATATAGCGGTGAATTAGCAAAGACTGGAGTCGCTCACGAAGACGATCTGTTTTACCTGTTCCCGGAGACCTCGAAGGAAATTGGACCACAGTACAATATTGAGCGCAGCGAGAATGATTACAAAATGGTTGACATAATGATCGACCTGTGGACCAGCTTTGCTAACAGCAGGTATGAAAGTAACCCGGTCACCTACTCGGCTAGAATAATGAATTTTTCGAGAGCTGTGTGAGTAAGTAACCAATGTAATTTTTAGTACACCCGTCTCGTCTCACCTGGACGATCCGAAAATTTGGAAGCCGTACAAGCAAGGTGGACACCTCAAGATTGGAAATATTTCTGAAGTAAAAGTATCGCTCCAGAAGGGCTTCCGTCGCGACAAGATGCAGTTTTGGTCTGAACACGTGCCAAGATATCCCTTAACATCGTGTCACGGAGATGACTAAAATCTCGAGGATGCATAGCAATCAAGGACAATTGCTGTTTTATCTATTACCACTGGCAACTGAATGAGATGAAAGATATACATATTTTTACTACAATTCAAATCGTTTGTGATCCTGCATTATATTATATTAATATAATTGTATTTTATTAATAAACTATGCATTTTAAGTCCTATGTCTTATTTAAAAGTAAACTACGAAGAGAATATCAATCTCAGTAGATCCTTCACTAAAAAAAAATTAAATATACTACAGCATATGTTAAATGAATATTATAACTATTGCAAGGTTTCTATTAATTGAGTGCCCTAATACTCAAACGTCAAAATAGTATATTTAAAATCTAAATATTATGTCCCCAACATATAGTCCATACTAAATACATTATACTAAATATATTACTAACTTAAATTAAATTATTTCTAACGTAAACTAGATAGCTTGGTCGGACAAACACGTCACAATAAAATTAATTAACTACATTCTCATACATCTAGATCTTACAGCTACCTTACTCCCTCTACCTTGTTTTATGAGCTTCCTAAGCTCATGATGCTGGGTTCTTCCAAACAGGACGTTGGCATCTATCCTAGCACGAGGCACTTGCTTGGGTGTCCTCTTCTTCTGGGATAACATCCTCGCCACGTCCACATTTGGTAGTTCAGCAGCACCTCTACCTAGAAAAGCTTTTCGCATTCTTTTCTTGTTTCGTCGCTTGTGGCGCCTCACAGACTGTCTTAGGCTCTTGTCAGAGCTGCAGACGTCCAGCCACTTGCGCGAAACTTGAGCAGCACACAAGAGAGACTCAGTATCTAACTTGCGAAGGATCAGTTGGGATACCTCCAGAGGTAGTTCAGAGATGAAGTCTACCTTGGCAGGTGCCAACAGTCCAATGACGCGAAGGAAAGACCTGAAGAACTCCATGTCGTCGCTGTTGTCGCAGGGACTCGAATGAGCAGCTCCTGAAAAATTAGGGATACATATACCCCTCAACCCCCACTCCTACCCGTCACGGTTGACCACCCGTTCCGGTCCATTGATTCGGCCAATCACGATCTAGAACGGATGTTACGCATCAACGGTTCGACCAATCGCGTTATATGACTGGTAACGTTCTCCTCTTTTGCACTGTACAAGGGTTATTATTTTCTGAAAAAGGAATGTTTGCAACCTTCGTTACAATTTGTAGTTTATGACTTTTTGAAATCTCTACTCCTACCACAATATCAATAAATCCTTTTAAATTGTCTCTTAGGTGATTTTTAATTTAAAAACAGTATAATAATACGTATTAGGCGAGTCATGAATTTTTATTGACACCTAGTGGTACGATGTTGAATACAGAAATTTATGTAAATTAAATCGAATATGTCCTTGAATAGAAAGTTAATCTGTGGACTTTACTTAACCGATTTTTAACAGAAGTCATCTCTATTCTTAGTACTGATCTATTCATCACCATTTCCGATATGGCTATGTGAAAACTGGGGTTCCGTCATCGACGATCCCTCATTTCCTCGAGCTATTTGACATCGACTGTGCCGTTAAGCGATACTCCTTTAACCGACTCAAAGTCTTCGATAGCCTTTCGTTTTGTCGCGTGAGCACTTCGATTTTCTCACGATTCGCAATCAATTGCCGCGTCATGTCCGCAACTGGATCATCCTCCGGCTTCACTATCGTCTCTTTGTGACATTCTTTGCTGGAAATATCATCGGGAGTGCTTTTGACTCTCTCCTTGTCTTCCCGAGTCGGGTTCGCCAAACGTAACGATGCAATTTCTTGCTGCAGTCGCTCGATTTCTTTTTTGTTTACCTCCTTCACCTGAAAGCAAATAGCGAAAGGACGTAATATACAGTCAGTCACATAAGTATGAGTAATCACCACAATTTTATATTTGTAACGAAATATTTATTTGAAAACATCGAACCTGTCATTTAATAGAGACAATTTTTATTTATGGGACAGACTGTATGTAATACAGCTTGCGATTATAAAAATTAAATACACATGACTTCGCGAGATACCTGCATACAATGACAAATAATAATCAATATATAATTAGGTACGCATATTTGCAATGCATTGCATATTTATTATTTTACTTTACCTCTTAAAGTATTCGTCGTTAATTTACATTAATATCAACACGTATTAATTATCATTTTTCGTTAATGGGACGAGCGAACCTTTGCTATCGTGTTATGTTTATATAGCAGAGAAAATATGTAATATTAATTAGTTTAATTACCGCTACACTTCTGCATGAACACAACGTGGCACGATAAGGTACTTCCTGCTACGCTCTCCCCTACGAAGATTTCATTACGCGTTTAAGAATCGATAAAGGTTACAAGAACGAACAGGATGCACACCAGCGCCCTGCGGATCCTGAAAGCCCAGCCATCGACCTTGCGGAGAATGACATCAACGACGCTGTTCGGACTTCGACAACGCCGCCATTCTTCTCAAGTGGTTGTAGGGTCTACGGAAAAGCAACCTCGCGAGAGCTAACTCTCACGGGAACTGCCAAATTGGGAACGATGGAGATCGATCATGCAGCATCGGTTGTCCCGCGGGAGGACAACACGGAATATTCCTGGGTTAACAGTGAATATAACTGTCCGTGAGAGAAGTTTGACCCCTTCCTTGATGCTCGCAGAAAAGGGGAGCTTCGATACACAAAATTTCGATAACTTCGATTTAGCAAATAAATTAGATGAGAGGTGTTTCATTTCTAGATGATGTTAGGTAAGCAGGAGGAATGTTCGTCCAATGAAAACTTGGTCGTGTGCCATGGGGCACACGGACATTTCGTTAACAATTTATCGGATTATGAACAATCTTAAGAAACTGGATGGGAAACAGTGCTGGGAGCGGTTGAAAGGAGCTCAAGCTGAGAGCTTTTGTCAACGAGGCAATAAACTTTCGAGTATCCGAGACCACAGGGTAAATAAGGAACTTTCTAAAGGTAAGCAACCTCCTATAGCGGCTAACATTGGGCTAAGTCGATTTATGGTACTCTGTGTGTACGGTTGTGTGAGAATTCGCAACTATCGAGGTTTTAGTTTCCAATGTGCCCATGAGCACGGACAATTTAATAATTAACTGATCGCAAACAACCCAATAATGGATAATCGAGTGATTTCCAAAGCGGATTAGCTTCACTCTTTTGTGGAATTCCTACTGATACGTTTCGAGCCATAACGTGCGTTATAATTGGCGATGATTCGGAATCTCGAATAACCCCATCGACTCGCATAAGTTAATTTAATCGTGTAGCGAGTCAATTCACGGCCGACGGAATCACCTAAATGGAGAGGCGATAGCTTGAACAGCGGGCAATTTCTATCGTCTCCGCATCGTTAACACGCTGTTCGTAGCAACCAGTGAATAGGTTTAATTAATCACCGGCCAGGTGCCGCAAATAGGCGAAACGAATGCGTCGATAGATCTTGGAATAAATTAAGTCACCCGCACAGCCAGTTACTTAGTCGGAACGAATCCGTTGAAACGGATAAAATTCCTTCTATTTTCTTCGCCTTATTTATGCGCTCGGAGTGTGAAAATAATTTTCACGGTCGTATCCCTCGAGAGGAATCGTTCATTAAGAAAGTAAACGGAAGAGACTTTGTAAAAAATTAATGGTGTAACGATAAGAGCGTCATTTTGTTGTAGAGAAAATTTATCATACATGCTGATAGAAATTAGAAATTTACGTGTATAGAGTATGTAAACCTAATTTATATTGTTCCTCTTAAGGCGAGGAATCAGTTGCCAATTAGTCGGTCATCGATAGCGTTAAATAAATAAACGGAGGCAAGCAAGGATAATTATATCAAAACAAGGGAAGCTCAGGGATGCACGCTCCTACTCTGTCTATCTTGGCACGATCTTGTGTGCACGACTACGCTACCATAACATAAGAAGCGATGCATGAATATCAACGTAATTTATACAGGAGTAGCACTAAGCATTAAATAATAATCTTGAAGTTTATCGATGAGTACTGCTTCACTCTTTGTACTCCTGTGTCGAGTTACACTCGACATCATTTTTATACACAGGAACTAAAAATTAATTTTCATATGTATTTAGTTTTTTAGTATCAACATAAGCAATAATAGGAAGTGTTTAAAGTTAGTGCCAAACGAGAAACTGTGTTTTGAAGTACATTTTAGATAGAACACAAAATAATAGGGAGATACGAGATACGGTGAAACATTTCACACGGTCGCAAGCTCGACTCACCGAATCGGCTTCCTTCCTTGATTCGTTCATAAGTGCTTGGAAACGTCGTTCTGTCTCAAGGTGTGCATTACGGCTGTCGACGACTTCCTTTCGGAGTCTGATCACGGTCTTCTCGAGCTCCAATTTGCTCTCGACCAACGCTCCCGTGTGACTTTGCAAAATGTTATTTCCGATGGCTGCAACGAATGTTCGAAAATAAGACTATTCCGCACCGGATTCACTTGTCCTTGTCAAATTTCGCTAGAAATCTCGCATGCTGAGAGACCGATGTATGTTTCGAGTCACTCCGTGCATACGTTTCAATAAAGAGTATTTCATTTAAGAAGAACGAAAGCTCACGCGTTCACGCTATTTCTTTTTTAACTTACTTAGATCCGATATCTGCCTGCGAGCATCCTTAAGAGTTTCGTCCAAATTCTCATTTTCTTCCTCCAGGATTACGGCCCTTTGCCTCGCCTTCTCAAGCTCCTCCTTCGCTGTGAACCAACTCTCGATCAAATTTGAAATATTTAATATTAGATGATCCCAAAAGTTCCTGTCCCTCAGATTACCTATTTACATACACACCGCCACACAAAATAATTGATGATGAGATATACTTCAAACCATGCATCCCTTCGATTCAAATACTCAGCGAAACTCAACCACTCAATTGGAGCGCCGTAACATAAAATTGCCTCTGTTATCGGAGCAACGCGATGCTCGAAAAAGAATATCTCTTCGATTCTCTATCCGTTACCAAAACGATCATAAATCGCAGCCCATCGATTACAAGCTACACCTGCCGAACGCGACCCGGCGCTTTAAAAAAAAATCTCTCAGTCGAATTTCCCCGCACGTTGTTTGACCGCGATCATTCCCATATGTACGCTCCGCTCGAGCCACCGTTACGTATCTATTCACGTAACCTGAAACTTCCTACCTAATTCCGTGCAACCGTGAGTATCCGACCAAGTCCCAGGGCTATTTGGGAATTCGATCGATAAAGAAAGTTCCGGCACGGAACCTTACGTTGCGATTCAGGCTATTAAAACCGAAGAACAGGAAGAAGAAAAGAAGAAGACGATGGCGGGGAAGGGAAGACTAGAGCGAAGATTGATGAAGTGAGACAGAAGAAGCGGCAAGAAGAATCGAGATGCCTCCCCGATGGTGATGGACAGCTCTTAAGAGGGTCTTCCACTCTGGACGTTCAACGGAATCGATTCTTCCATGTTTACACGTTATTGAAGTTTTCGGCGCTGAGCAGGTCTTTCTAGACTATTAGGTTGAAACGTTTGGACGAACGAAAGTTAATTTAATTTCCACGTGATGGCGCACATTGTTTAATTAATTAACTTTGATATCGCTAGAGAGTTGTCTTCGCGAACGTCTTTTCATTCCGACGCAAAATTCGCCCTACTTTTTACAACACGTGGACTTTGATACTTCGATAAGAGGTACTTTTCGAAACACTTAAACTGCACTCGTTTTCTATGTCTTTTACAGACTTCGCGGAGTTGAAAGCCGCTCCGAGCAATTTACGCTCGTCTTGTGGCGAAAGCTTCTTTGGACGTTCTCCACGCTTCTTTTCACCATAATTTCGACGCGGGGTAAGAAAGTCCGCAATAGCGCTCTTCGAGAGTCCAAGTTTCTCTATTCTTTTTTGTATCGTGTGTGAACCCTTCGCCTTCAACGCGAAACGTCTCGATCGTGACGTTTTCTTTCATAGAAAGTTGTTTCTCGCGAGGCATTCCTCTAGGAAACTGTCGAAAACTGTCGCTAATTACTAACGAAACAAAAGTACGAACGAGGGAGCGAAAGGAACCTTTGCTAGAAATGTAATGGTAATGGGATATTAAGAAGAGAAACCTGCCATTTTCCAGCACGTCCTCCAGCCCAGAGTTTTTAGCTTGTAGAACGTCCGCCCGTTTCTCCTGCCGCGACAAGTTTGCCCGCAGATCTCGAACAGTCTCCTCGTGATCACGTCTATTGGCTTCCGCACAACGATTACTCTCCCGCATTCTCACGAGCGCTGTTTCTACGTCCGTTCCTATAGCTTTCGTCAATCTGCCCATCACAGACCATTGGGTTCTCGCGTAAATATCGATCCTGCATTCGTCTCTGCAGGGAAAACACTTCTCTTCTTTGACAAGGAAAACGGCAACGTGTAAACTTCGCTACCCTCTTTTTATTTATACGTGACGTTCATCCGGTCACTTAATTTCGACATCGAAGGTTACTTTAAACTAAAATTGTTAAAAAACTAGAGGTTGCGTGTCGCGGCGAAATCTCGAAATTTCATCTCGCGCAACAAGTTTCTTCTCTCGGCGAGACCGATGTAATTTTCCCCCGATTTACTTTTCAGTTCGCGAAATGGGCGAACGACTCGACGTGGCACCGTTAAGTGGTTCCCCTTGTATTATACATGAATCGTACCTTTCCTTGACGGCGACGGATATTAATTTGTTCTCGACGAAGACGCGCTCGATCGCTTTTATCGCTTCGAGGACAGCCTCGCCAGCCAGCGTGCAACTCCCGCAATAGTTCACGTCGCCGCCCGCTTGACAACTTCGGGATATTCTGGGCGCGAAGCAGTCCCGCACCTCCTCGTCCTCCCTATTCTTCACCTGTTGACGTGCTGCTATTTTTCGGGAGCTTCCTCGAGAGTCGGTATGGAAATTTTTACGACCTCGCCGACGTACGCGCGATCCTCGAATCGCTCGCGCGTTTCTCTTTGTCTCTCGCAACCCTCGGCCCGTTTCCCACCATTTCCCTTCCACTTTTCACGTCATCGATTTTTCATCCCTTCTGTTCCACCCTCCACCTAATTCAACTTGCATTTCTCCGCAGAGCATCCCCCATCCGCTATATTTCTTTTATAATGTGCAGCCTTTCGCGCCTTCGAGTAGCAGCTTTTATCGCGGATTCGAGTGATCATTAGAGACATATACTATATTTATGAATGACTCATTCAACCGCGAGATCGCGGTTGGCGATATTACGTTATATGAGACGTCGTCGGTATGCTGAATAGTTTACGTTACACCGCGAAATGGGATCCGTATTACATATATATCGTGTAATGCGCAGCGTCGAACGTTTCAGGCTAGATATTTCAGAAAATTAATCAACACAGAGGGCGCGCAGTTTATGGATTCTGTTATCTATGAATGAGCTCTGATGATTCCTCTCGTGCGCAAGTAGTTCGGTAGACGTCGAGCGAGACGTTACGAACATCTTGCTATATTACGCGAATTAACGTAGGAGAAAAGAATGAAGGATTCCTGGTGAAGCATTATGTCTCCGAGAAAATGTCTTAGATGGAATAGTTTGAGACTCGATTTTCTCGAACGGCATCCAAGCGCTTTATAATTAGCGTAACTTTGTTCCACAGTCGTGTCAACTTCCCCGTATGAAGCCAAGTTTACCAAAGTTGGTTTAAACTTCTTTCACAGGATTAATCTTTTCATTAATAGTTTTCCCTCGCTTTAAACTGTTCTCTGTTTTAATAAATTTATTGCGTCGAGAATTAATTACCCAAGAAAGCTCGCGTCCAAATGATATATTAACTACATTTTATGAAACAAATAGCGCGCTATAATTTGTGAAATAGACACATGACGTAAACCGAAACTTACACGAACGAGATGGAAGCTACCGAAACGAAATATGCGGAAACTCGCGTTGCGCAAAGGGTTAACGTGCGCTTTGACTCACCATGTGACGGGAAATCGATTCTGGTATAGTCTTCAGGCGGTCCCAAACAAGCCGCAACAAACTAGCCAGTGAAATCTGACTTGGTCGTTTGACGTACGTCACTTCTTTGAAAAAATCATCCACGAAGGGATACTTGTCCATGAATTCCACCATTAGGCGTAGAACGAAGTGCATCCTGCAATGGAAGCTACTTAGAATATTATTTTAACGTGTTTGGAATTTTATTTCGATTTTATTTGAATTCAATTTTCTTCGTATCACTGATTTGTGCAATTATTGATATATAATTTATATGCGAAGTGGAAAGTATGCAAATTAAACAGGGATCGTGTTAATTTCATCTAACTCCGAAAGTGCACCATAAATCTCGTCGAGTTTTCCTGATATAAACTTGACTTTCCTGTTGGAGTTAACAATTCTTGTGGAAACTTACTCTGAATCTTCATGCGAAGTTTGAAACCTTCGAGGTTATCGTGTTTCTCACGAACGATTGTGATATTAATATCGCGAACTTCAGTAAACGTTACAGTTAAAATAACGTCGCCAATTCTATCGAATTAAATACACGTATAAAATATCGTATTGGACATTGAGCCGTTCTTCGCGAACTGGATGAAACATTTTTTGAACTTGTTACACTGGAATCCCCCTTAAGAAGATCCTAAACCCTAAATAATCCTCCATGAAACCTACTATCCCTTAACCTTCACCGTCGAAACGAAAGTAACGAGCCGACCAATTGGAAACAGCCCCGCGGAAGCAACGAAGTGCATCGAAGGTTCCTGGATAGGTTTTCCCCAAAAAGGTCTGGACGTCTCCTTTGGGGATGGTACGTGCTCACCCAACGCACGTCTAATTGAATCGCGTCTGCAACCTTCATCGAGTTGGTGACATCTCAATAGAGCCTTCTCCGATGGTTCGCGTATTGGACGATCTACGAGAAAAATGCTTTCTCCTCGCACTTCTGGCAAATTTATGCAAACATGTGGCGGGACGACGAAAGGGCTAAACAACCTGTCGTAAGCCAGCTCCAGGAGAAGAATATAGAATTCCCCCGCGGTTCCATTGTGCTCCTTCACAACTTCCATAGCATTTATGTCCTTCGCGGTCTTCGTGGGGAATTTCCATGACAGGTGCTCGATATCGCCCAACCAAGAATATATCTCGTTCGCGACCCACGCACACTCCCTGATATCCGCGATGATTGACGTTGCCAGGAGTTTGTTCAGTTTTGGCATGTTTCCACGCAGGTTAGAACCGTGGATGATTGCGCACGACTGGTATCGCGAAGTTGCAACTGGGATCGATTAGTGTCTCTACGATCGAGATTCTCATTTATTATCAGTATATTCTCTGTGTACAGTCTCTTACATTCACGTGTATATCTATTGGGACTTGCTGGGCCTCCTATAGCTAGGGTAACTCGGGATCGCTAAGCCCGTACTGTAGCTACAATTAAATATAACTACAGCCCCTGAGCGTTACTCCTAGTTCCACGTTATCTATTTCATCTACGCGTGGACTAGAACATATACGAACATTTTCAATAGTTGCAAACGTTTATGCACCGAACTGTGCCAATACTTTTGTCACTGTACACCTATAATCTGCTTTAGGTAACAGCAACGTTTCCCACTATTTATTGGAATTAAAACTTTGACAGTATCAAGTGATCCAAACTCGAAACGTTGGACTCGCGGTTAACTGCGATTCAATGAACAGCATAAAATTTCTCGTGGTGGAACACGATATTCGCGAAATGCATATATTCTGTGCGAGAACTTTGCCGATTTCTCTCTATGGATTCGCGGTTGCACGATGCACCAGGGAATATTCGTGTAAATATTCGCTATATGCTATACTTATTCTAGGAGTTTGTTCTTGCGTTGATAAAACTTTCAAAATTGCTTCTGTTAGTGCACTCTCTGTCTTTCTGTTAGTCTTATCAGTGGATACGTCTCGCCATTCTCCATTCTTTTTTGGTCCGGTAACCCTCCGAGGTACTATTGCATTTTATTGCTTAAAAGTAGGTATGATTTTCTACTGTTATAGAACTTTCAGATAGCTGTTATCAATAATGTTAATCTTGATTTTATGTTTCAGAAGACAGTTCCCTAACGTCCACTTCAATGGTCTTCAATTGCGTCTTTTCAATTCATTCCTCAACTCTAATAATAGCTCCTCTGGGCACGAAGATGTAAAAGTCTTTCGCTTCCACCCAAGTCACGTTAATTGTTATTATTAATCATCGATTCAAAGTTCCCATTTTTCGTTTCGCTCTGACTCGCGATTATACCAACAATTATTACGCTTTCATGAGTTTGCAAAGCAGATTCCTCAAACTACCTCGTAATTTATTCGTCGAAAGGGAGCGGAATTCAATACGTTCCTTTCCCCTTCTTATCGATATCGTAAATCAGTTCGAATCCGTAATTTCCATCGGAAACGTGTAAGTATAATTGTTCCTTCGAGTCGGAGTTGTGCCAGACCATTTAACTGGTCGAACTTTGCCGGTGAATAATCTACAGAGTTCTTGAAGCCGTTTCCGGTTCTTTGATGAAGTCGCGAGCACGTTAATCTAACCGCATTTTCCAGATATAATCTTTATCAGCCTCGACGAGAACTCCACGGGTTGTCGCGTCCCTTCTTTGCCGATATTCCAGCGCGCAATCGCTCGCCAGATGTGGAAACTATCGTTTTGATTTTAAAACTTTAATTGAGTTCCCCACGGCGATGCCATTCGGGACGGCTCAGGGTCCAATTCGATTTTAATACAGGCGAAACTCGTACGAAATGGGAGCCTTTGTTTCAAACATTTCACATAAAACGCTAAACGTGTATGTTTTAAAATAAAATTGGGAAAATTAAAATAAAATTTATTCGGAATCACTGTTTTCTAAAATCAACGTGCTAAGGAAAATTTAATTACAGCGAGTCCCATAAGTATTCGACAAGTAATCTTTGAGAATGCCCTTGTATCCATCTGGAACTAAGAAAGGGTCACCGTGTTGGGTCCCACGATAAATGATTTTAACCTTTCCCTAACACCAAAAAAAAAAAGAAAAAATGTCTAATCTCCCTCTTACTATAGCAACCCAATCCTCTCTGCGATCTGTCATTCCACGAATATTTGGTTGCGGCTGTCGCGAGTTTATCACTCCCAGCCACCCCCGTCGTTCGTGGGAAACTTCGAAATGAGTAGATTACAGAGTTTGCGAAACCATTTGCAGCTCCAGGCCGAGGTGGCGTGCCCGTGAGCATCCTTGCACCGTCGCCGATCTGCATCGAATTCAGCCAAGTATTATTGCTATTATTCGACGCCCTCTTCGTTTGTTGCACACGGACACGATTAGGGGTGGCACTTTCCGCGGTGTAGGTATGGCATTCGATACGGTTCAGTTCGGCCCGCAGCGCGGTTACGACTCCCACGTATCGCGATTTCCAGCTGTCTTCGGAAGTGGCAGAACGTGTTTCGCTAACTATCAAAATGAAGCTTGATACGTGATCCTGGATCGGACTCTACTGCATTTCACGTAGACAGTCGCGTTAGGAGCCTAGTTTGAAGTAACCGTGCTTCGCGCTGTGCTTGCTGGCTAGTTGCTGATTGCTACTCGGGATACATACCATCGCGAGAAATTGCATAATCCTTATTGCAAATTGATTGACTGTGAGCCATTGGTATTGTTTTGGAGTCGATAATCGATAATGATGCGTACGATTGGTACGTGATTTTAGAGTTACGTGCAGTTATGGAGAATTGATGCACTTTTCTTTAATGTATTCTTATTTGAGATTACGAGGGATACATTTCACCACTCTCTTACTTAAAGTGATTTTACACAAGTCGAATGGCAACAATTTGAAATTTTTGCGTTCTGCTCACTGCAGCCTGTAGCGATATGCACGCATTACAAAGTGCAACAGCGAAGGACGTGATTAACTTAACGAGCAAACGTATTATAGGAGAACCTAAATACCAGTAAATTATATCGGGCGCGGTTCCATTATGAGCCGACGTTACTCGCAGCCCTCGTTCCCGAACGGTGCATAATTCATTCGGCCCCCAATATTCGGTGCGCACTCGTACATCTCCCGTGGTTTTCCACTAATGTACTTTAGGCTGTGCCGGGCGTCGTGTGTAGATAACGATCTGCAAAGTTCCCGGGACTGTGTAGGTAGACCAAGTTGCATGTACACCTGCTAGGCTAGGTGTCTTAAATGATGCACTTTCATTTCTACTAATATCAAGGCAATACTCGTAATTTTGTTTACAATCAAAATTGAGAACGAATGTTATTAATTTCTAGTGCAACTGAAAATTAATGAAACTACTTGTACGTACGTTTCGTTCGTTGGATCACGCAAGGCTCGTCTTGGTTGAACGGTGCTTCTGCGAAAATTTTGTTAGGAGGTGAAGGAATAAATTTGGCAACGATACACATTTCTGAAATCCCTTTTTTATGAAACAATAATATACAGATATCTATAGTAAATTCCATTTTGTAATAATTCGTATTCACGTTATTTACAGAAATATATGTATATATTTATTCATTTATGTATATATCGGTGAGCTCTCGTTATCTATTTCGGAGTTTGGTCTCGCGGATTACAATCCACTCGTGACGCTAAAATCTTAACCCCATAGCTGTGTGCCTTTGGTGCTGAAAACTTCTCACACTTACATATTTATGATTATGTTTATACAATTACAAACATAATTACAGACACCAAATTGCCTTCATTCGGTGCGCTCCGTAAAAAATAAGTCACCGTATGGAGTTTCACTAAAGCAGAGGCGAGCAAAATTTTCATTTGAACACACACCAAAGTTGAACTCTTTATCTATCACCCTTTGATCAAAACGTTGCGAATAAACGACGTTCGAACAAAATTTTGCCCACGACTGCGCCACACGATGCGATTACGCAGTTAACGAGTTAACTTTAAGTTCGGTTTCGCTGTGAACGAATACTACTGCAAAGAGCTACGAGGAATGACCCTAAATGATTTTGATGGTAATAATACCGCGAGTCACTTCTTCGCGTGGCAATGAAATCTTGATCGATAGCGAAACAAACTTTTTAAAAATTCCGTTTACCGACTCTGAATTCCATTTAGGTCCATTCTCTTCGGCTTTCCAGTATATGTAGGCTTGTACGATGACGATTATCAATTCTCGTATCTACACTCTCTTTTATACACACACATACACTACACGCTTTCGTCGTGACTCCATGATTTCGGTGTTTCTTAATTTACTCGATAATCTACGCGTGCAAATTACGCATGTTCTCTATGACGGTCTCTAGCAACGAAAGGCGTCGAAAAGGAAAAGGATAGTCCTACAGTCCCGTTTCTCGTCTGCTCAGAACCTATACCTAGGTGAAACGAGAAAGATATTTCCCACTTAAACTCTTCGGAGTACCCTAATTGATAAGAATCGGCCTTCGCTCGGAGTCGGTGCAAAACTTCAGATTCCTCGCGTGTTCGCGACAATGCTTTTTACTTTCTCGCGTGTCTACTTCATCATCGATTGGGTACGTTATTGTCCCCTCTAATCATCATTCTGATTTAGGTCGATCGATAAGTGTGAAATATTTCCTTAGAAAGCTGTCGCGGTGTATACCTAGGCTGAGTGTTGGACAGCGACAGGGACTGCGAAACAAATGAATTTCAGCTTGCATTTGTATTCAGTTTCTTGCAAGAAGTAATTCCTCGTCCTTTCTTGATTTGAAAAAGCTTCGTGCAAAAGAATATAATAAATTGGTATTCGAATGAGTTGCAGTGGGAAAGGAAGACATTAATCAAGAGAAAGTGGGACGTTGATAAGCAGACGTTCTAGAATTAATTTCATGCAACCTGCGTCTTCTTCTGTTCATTTTCTCCATTGACTCATCCATCCAAACTTCAAACGTGAACGTGTCTTCTAAGCATATCCGATTGTGTGCATTTTCTGTACAAGTATAGATTATCCTAGATATTACGTTTCGATGCACTTTGCCCCATTTCTCTAGATGGTCTGTTACAATAAAAATTTGTTCGTCGTTTGTACAATCTTCCGAAGAAGACATTTCAGCGCATTTAGCGACCAATGAAAATGAATTAAGAAACGGAATCTCAGAGTTGTGCAAATGCATTTTGTATACAAATTGAATATTTTTATTCTTGATCATGAACTACATTAACTTTCCAACGTTGTTTTCTTCTTTCTCTTCTATGCCAAACTGTTCAAGAAAAATGTTTAAATTACTTTCATTTATGTAACGAAGTCTTACAAAGTTTGATTGAATTTTAATAGGGAACTAAAGAGCCTGGCTATGCTTCATTTCTTCATGCTATTATACACGTATGAATCACTTATATTTTAGTTCAATTTATTTCTTCAAAGTCATCGATATATTTTAAAATTAATGGTGTCGGTGTTCGATATTGACCCGAGATCTTCTGTCACTAAAGGATTCTATTTCGTTGAGCAGCAAATCGTTAAGTTCATTACACGTGCAATTAGAATATTTCTCCAGATACGAGAGGCGCGTATCGAAATAAAATTGTACCATTCTCGGTTGCTAAAGTAATTTAGCTATGTCTGTAACAAAAGTTTACTCATGGAAAGCAGAAAATTAATTTTTGTTACAATGAAAATCGAACATTTCAATTAGTTATCGACAGAGCTGAATCGACTTTAGCTGCCCCATTCTCTTCTTCTGTTTTGATTCGATAACGTCACGGTTTCGACGTGTAATCCAGAATTTCTAGACAAAGAAATTCTATCGAACGCAACGAGAAACCATTCCACCAACGAATTAAATGTTTTATTCCATCTATAACCTATCGTGGAATTATTTTGCCGTTCTTATTGCATCGATAGTAAGTATCGATGTTTAATTATTGCTAGTTGCATTCACCATTTCTTTTCGTACGTCAAACCTTTATTAAACGTTGCGCAATTTCAACGGAGGAAACGATAAATAAATAATAAGTTGTAATGTTTATTATCGGAACAATCGAAAGCAATTTAATTTAAATTCATTTGTTAACAATTGCTCAAAATAAACGGGTAACGTTTCAAAAGTACGATAACAAAGTTCTCGCATACGTACATTTTATCAACGACCCGTTTTCAATTAACACCCACGCGATCCTCCATTCTTTACCGCTGACTAAATAAATATTTTTCCACTCCAATAATATTTCAAACGTTAAATTTTGCACGTTTCGAAAGGTGTATTATTCGTATCAAATTCGTTAAACTCAATCGTCGAATTTCATTAGTGATAGAAAAATAACGAAGTAACCTTCCTTCATTCAGAATTCCTACCAAAGATAAAAATTTGTGATCATTGAATATTGAAAATAACGTATGGATAATTTATTTCTATCCTCATCGCTCGTATTATACGCGCGATGTACTCGCGTACAACGCTCAGAGCCTTTGTACACTGTTTATCGCCGGAAATTAAAGCTGCCATCTAATCAATAGGGCATCCGTGGGAACGAAGGGGTGCGTTTAACTTCTTTCCCCTCCGGGCGAAAATCCGAATGAATCGAAGACAGAAAGATCGATCCGACATCGACTGCCCTCGGGACACCGGAAGTTAATTAACCTTCTGGTGTCACACGTCTCTGCAACTTTACTTCATCGACTTTCGAACCACCCCGTTGAAGGAACAATATCGCAATCGCTCCCTCATTAATGGCTCTTCGAATACCATTTTACATCCATTCCGAAAAATTCATTTAATAATGTCAAAACTATGATTTAACTTAGTTAATTTTGTTCATAGTCCTCTCCGATACATTTCGTTTTTTAATCCTGTCTGAGTGCTTATTAAAATAAATTTTCAGCACAAATCGTCCCTTGTTGGTGGAAGGATTAACAGTTTTATCGCGTCTTGCATCGACCACGCGCACGAACGCAAATCGAAGGCGTTTCTCTGTGTTCAATTCCAGTCGAAGTTTCCGCTGTGAAACCAATTTTCGAGTTAACACGGTTCTCCATCGAAGAGAATGCGGGCATGGCGTAAAGCTTGAGGGTCATAGGTGCCAACAAGGGCTTAGTTCTATCTTGCACGCTCCAATTCAATCGCGAGACCCCGCACGCTGGATATCCCCTCTCGCTATCTTGAAAATCTCCGAACAGCAGTCACCGTTCCAGCTTTTCTTATTTCTATAAATTTATCAGCGCGGATTAAACACCGCATTAGGCCAGGAAAGCCGATTTCGGCACGATCCCTATTTACCAGGAATCGGTCCCAATCGTCGAAATCCACCTGCCATTGTTATCGGGGACAATATATGGCGACGCGTCACGAAGAAAGAGGGTTCAGAGCGCCAGTTCTCAACTCGCAACCCCTTTCGAAGGAGCCGAATTTATTTCTCGACGTATCGGTTTCATTTGGCCCGCGAAGATAAATATTTTCGTTCCTTGTCACTGGCTTGGGATAAGAGTCACTCGACAAATACGGATTCTCGGCAATGGCAATTGTCCAGACAAGTGTTTATGGATATTATATATACTTGTCGTTAGGTCTTTTTCGATGAATCGATGGAACGTTATACATTTTTATGTTAATTTCGCTGATTGAAAGGTCTTCGATTTTATTAAAATAAGAAACGTCCACCGATCGGTGACCACCGCGTAAGAACATGCCTCGCTATAAAACGGCTCGTAACAAGGAAACAAGGCGATCCTTGCGAGACACCTGCATCGGCTACACGCGCGCTGTGAAACGCAAGGATATTCGTTGTTTTTTTCCAAAGACCATAACCGGTTCGAACGGTTTCCCACGGATGCGAGCACTTTTATCGCTTGTGTGCACGGAGATCCAGCGACAAATTGTACGGGATCTGCGTGAATTTATCGAACGATCTCCTCGTTCGAATATTTCTCGTCGACTCAAACGTGCTGGATGATTGGTTTCGAAAGGCAGAAAGGGCGTGGAACTTCAACGTAATGAAGTACATCGTGTAGCGCGAATTTGCTATTCATATTTTAAACGTTCGAATATTAGGTTCCGTATTTGACTTGATTAGATAACAAGTATACTGTAAAGTACGTGCATTAAAAATTAAGAAAGGTAATACCGGCGATGAAAGTTGCTGAAAACGTAAGGTTACATATTGAAAACATTTAGATGATTTTTTGAAAGATGAAGTGCTTTACGTTAATTTTGACACAACTGCGTATTTGAGAAGCTCGCAAAATTTAAGAACGCGAAGTTCGTTTGACTGCAGACGCGCGGGTTTATGGAGTGAAACTGTCTTCCAAAGTTTCACCTCTCGGATGATATCTTGGAAACTAACACAGGGAAACGGGAGTACTTCTGACGGTAATGTTTTACTACTTCTTGCGCCAACGCGGTGCATAAAATGATAAAGTGTTCGACAAGAAAGTTGAAATATCGTTTTCACTGTTTCTACTGAAACGATTAATAAAGTAACCGTCGAAATAGGAAAATAAGTCGTTTGCGTTCCGAGAATCTTTCCGTATTGACGTAATATTTTGATTTTCTACGACGGAAAATTTCCCTACGGAAAGAAACGTATAACTCGATAATTTTCAAATTAAATTACTTGCTTCCGCAACGTAACTCGTGTTTACAAAACCGGAAATCGGAAAGCAAGCAGAGGGTAAACTATTGGCTCCCGAGAAACGTCCCCCGACTATCAATAGAAGCATCCAAACGAAGAGTACACACGTTTCGCGTTAGTAAAGGATACACAGCCACGTCCTCGGAGTTTTCACAAGCTTTAGTCGGAAAGTGTACCCGTGTCATTGTAAATAGACAATCACCGTAGGAATCCTCCTTGGCTCGAACGGTTTATCCTCGTCGACGACCCTTGACCGAGCGAGAGGAATGTAATACGTTGATGCAACGTAAGACATTTCTCTAACCCGAGAAAGCCGTCTCCCTCCCGGATAACGAACGATACGGGGTCGAGTGGCAAAGGAAGCTCCACGGATAGGTCCTCTCTTCTAATTCCCTCGCCACAGCTCGGATACAGATGAGTATCCACTAGTGGATTCCGAACCAGTCGAATCCCGAGCTCATTCGAATTGGAGATAGAGATTGAAATATGGTTAGTGTGTTTATCTAGTCTGGAATTTTCGAGAAAGAAAAACTTGCAACTCGAAAACTTAAAATTTAGAGTTAGTACATTTATCAAACTGTCGATGACAATAAAACGTCACCTGTCAATAATAGTAAAGTATCGGCAAACAAGGGATTAAGGGATGGCTACATCGGTTTTCATCGCAAGAAGCGTGGCATGCAGAGACGGCTCTTAAGGTAGTGCCAAAGAAATCAATATGAACGGATAGAGAGGAGTCCGAGCGTTTCTTCCTTTTAAGTTTAGGAGGAAACTGAAGTGGGTCGTTCTTCAAACTCGACTGTTAAGTTACCAGGGGGTCGTTTTTCCGTCCAACCTTTCCTCTCATCTTTGCTGGATCATTTTTAAAACTTCGCAGGTAAGCTTGTTCGAGCTCGAACGACTGTCCATTGTTGAAACATCGCTGTTCGTTGGTTTAACGAGGTGACGGTGATAAATAAAATTTTTTAATTCGATTTCCAAAGAACATTACCGAAACCGAAAGACTGAAATATCGTTCCCTGGCATAGAAGACATCTTTTTTTGCAACTATTTCAAATTATTGTTTTTAAAAGTCAAAACACAACCATTGAATTCGATGTATAGTTTGGGAGTTCGGTTTCGGCAATTAACAGTTCGAATAGAAGTAATAATAATGTTCGATCAAATTCCGCATTCGCAATAACGGTGTTAATAATGATCAAACTGCTTCTCGAAGTAATTATAATTTCCATGCAACATTAACGACGAGCACAGCGTTCGATAATGTCGATAACAACAACTGCGATAGCAAAGGGACTCATCTATCCGCAATTGTAACTTCGAATAGTCTCGTTCTCCTAATTTCGTATATAATACGCCCGAGACATGTTCGTTCCAAGTTTATACTGCGATTCCCATGTTGCTATTTGAAAATGAATCGGGTATATCGAGGATACTGGCCACATAGTTCACCGTAATCTTTTTTTTTTTTTTTTTTTTGGCAGTTCCAAGGAAAGAGATCGGTATTGAAATCGATCTCCCAAGGCGAATTACCATAAATTTGAATCAAGTGGAATTTTCACTTATAATTCAGTGTTTAAAGTTCGTTTGAAAGTTTCGAACATCCCATTTAAATGTTAATGGAACGATCACGATCGTTTCGTTATTGTTTGCATTCGATTCTATTTAGAGCGTGACGTTTCTATTCCGACAACTTCAAACATGCGTTCCGTGGACAAAGGGCGAGCTTTTCTCGTTGAAAATGACGATCGATACGGCTACTTACATGCAAGCGAGTCCTGCGTCGGCTGTGGCGATCGATCCGCGTAAAAATTTTGCAAATTTTTTCCTAAACTTAACTTTAATCGACGGTTTTTGCCTCGCCGAAGAAAAACCGTGGCCTAAGAGTCTTTAAGGGGCTAGATTTTCGAAAGTATCTAACATTCACGAGCTTTTTTACCGTGCTTTCATCCAAAGCGGTTCCTTGAGCGTTTACTTTGCTTCGAAAATTTGCTCGAAAGCCAGGGCAACCCGATCGATCGCGTTAAAGTGGACCGACACACCGCGACCAACGATTCTTAAATTCTCTGAGATCGGTATTATCGACGAGTTTACCCAGGATTGGCTGGACGAAACGCCAGATCTTTATTTTTATATTGGAGGCATGGTTATGATCCACGATTTTTTTTACAAGAGATTCGTAGGCATAATCGTGTTTCCAATATAAAATTCTTTTCTAATTAATACTCCCCTCGACGTTCGATTCGTTCATACGCGTACATCTAATAGTCTTCAGAGTTTCAATTGACTGAATCGTCACGGAACACGTGATTTAAATAGCCCTTTGGAAACTGAAGCGAAGAACGTGAAATGGCACCCCCTTCCCCCCTCCTCCACTAAACAACAATCACTTCCACTGGATTTCGTTTCGCGAGCAAGTTCCGCGACACTTTGTTTCGACGTCGTCAGATATCTGTTTCGTCGCGCTAAACGCTCCTTTAATTGAACCGCCGAGTTCATCGGAACTCCGCCGAGGGTTCAGCCGTGAAGTATTCTCGTCGCGTAGCACTTGTAAACCTCATTTAGATCCTTGGAGGGCTTTGGAAGTCGCCAAAGTTCATCGAGCAGCCTTGGGATAGTCATTATCGTCGTAAATTGTCCCCCGACTGCCCCGAATCTCCCTACCCTCGTCGTACAGTTCTAAATTCTTCGCGAAATTAGGCAAGAATTGCCATTAACTCTTCTTCGAAGCGAGTAGAACTCGATAGCGAGGAGCAAAGGGTCTGTGTCGAGTGAATGTCGCTTCGTCGACTTCGCATGAAGTAGTGCTCGACTATATACGAAAAATGGAGATCGGAGGAGGTGTCAGAATTTGCCACTTTTTCGAGTCGTGAAACATAAACAGTGCTGGCTATAATTCTTTCGCGTACACCCGAGCACTCCCACGAACCACCGAACTCGCGTAATACCGAGTTCCCGCGAAAGGCTCGACAGCCTCGAGTAGGCTGCCGCAGAATTGATCGTTTCGTGATTTGGAGCGTCTCTCGGATAATCCGTTGACCTCCGAAGCTGATTAACCGCGACCCCATCGAGGTGCGTACGTTGCTTCGTCCCTGAAAGAAGCAGCGACCTGGGATTAACTCCTCTCTCCGGAAGTGATATGGCAGCGGAGGAGGATAAGCGACAGCGGGACCCTGGCGGGTGTCAGTCGCGCTCAACGATACCCTGGATTTTCCGAAACAGCTTCTGCGCGAGGTAGGCGGTCTTCTGGTTCGAGACTCAACGTTTCGAATCGTTGATAAATTATTCCTAACCCCCGCGTAGGGATATTCACGGTGAATATAGTCTTTAATCCTCCACCCTCCTTCCACTCCTCCTTCTTTAGATCCCAATTACTTCCGCGTTACTATCACTCCGTGATTACCAATCTTTCACTCCGGTGCCTCTGCCATCGGGAATTAATAGACCCTCCAGTTTTCCACCCGCGCGGAGATCGTTGGATCACGTGAAAGTTCGCGCACCGAAACCAGCATCTACCTAACCCGAATCATCGAGGTTTCTTAGTCCCCCTCGGATCCATCCCACGCGATCATTAGAATCACCTGTTGTTCCGTCTGGGAAGATTATCGGTGAGCTTCTTCGGGTCCGCGTCGAACGTTACAGAGAGCTATTCACCGGAAGAGACTCGAGCGGGCATTAACTCCTTCCCTCGAGCGGACACAGCAGGATGGCGAGGATAAGGGGCAGCAGAACACTGGTCAGCGCGCGGCAGCCGCTCGCTTCGAGAGACGCGCCGGATTTCGTGGGTGGATTTCTGGCCTGGTCATTCATCACGTCGCTGGATATCGCAGCGCTGTTTGGCTCCGCCGAGGGACAGCTTATCGGGACGCTCATTGTGTCGTTGCTGGACGTGGAATCTCGGGAGCAACGGCTCGCGTGGTGACCCAGGCAGGAGGCGTACGAGATGGCGTGGGGTATATAGCTCTGGTCGATGCTGCCGGAGAACAAGACACTCGCCAGCGGACCTATGGCGAACACCGGTACGTCCTCTCCCCCGTGGGTTGCCCAGGCACGTGGCACCCCCGCCGTCTGCAATCCAAAATGGATTTTCGATCATCGAACAAGCTGTCCAATGAATGACTTTTAAATTTAATTCTAACATAAATACGTGAACATATACCAACTTCAAAAAAATAACATATTCACTGTCAATGCGTTTGATGTCATTTGAGCCATTCATTGCACATATCCATTAACTCCATAAGATAGAAAGTTGAGAAATGCGATGAAATAACGTACATTGTTTTTTAAAATTTCCTTTATAATATAAATTCAAATAAATATCGTAGAATGGCTCATTTATTAGACAATTAATCTCCTAGCTGTAAGCTCTACGAAATATTATTTTCTAATGGTAGTATCGATAAATCAGTTTCGAAATGGCGTCCTTCTGGATAGGATTCCTCTAGTCGAACGGTACCATATTTCTCATCATCCAAGCCGCCATTTCTTAGAATCGAAATTAACCCCTTCGAAAGCCACGCCGAAACGATAATCACGAAGCGGAGTGCCAATAAATCAGGGCATAAATTTGAAGCCAGACCGCGATTTCCCGCCGTGAACGAAATTCCAGTCCGCAGGCTCGTTACCGAAGCCAGTGGCCGCAGCCGTGCAATTTCGACCTTGTAATTATGATGCACGACCAGCTGATATTCAGCGCCAGTTTCGCTGGGACGAATAACCGCCCAGCGTACGTCTCTCTGTCTATGCAATTTTTTTGGATCACCGAAAACCTGTTTCCAACTAGAAGCCGGACTGTTTATTCAACCTCGTTTGAAAATACGAGTGTTTCAGATTACTCGTGTTCGTGAAATCCAAAATAATTTATTACTCAAGATAACAAAACAGCAAAAATGTTTCGATCCCTTTCTCTTAGAATAGTCATCATCGGATAGATGCAGCGAAGAGGGTTTCTGTGAAACTAACGCGAATAAAATAGGCCATATCTCGAAACGAATTAGACTCGACGGTCCAGCCACGGTTTATTTAGAGCAACCAAAGCTCAGCTCCTACGACTCATTTGCATGTTTGATTTATCCTCCGCCTCGATTCCGTCTCGTTTTCCAGGCGGCGGAAGAATGAAAAAAAAAAAAAAGAAGAAGAAGTTTACGAGGGTACTCCCGCGGCGCATGTTGAAAACTCGACCGATCCCTTTAGCACGTGCAGCCCCCGCGGATGAAAGGGTACATCCCGTAGCGCGGGAGGGTTGAGAGCGAGGGTTGGAAATCTTTGCCCGTAGGAAACAGGCTACGGCGTTAGCGGGCGCAACGGCATTTTTATCGGGCATACGCCACGGAAATGCGCGTAAAACTTTCATCGAGTTCAACGCCCCGACAGCGTCGCAATTCCTGGGATTGAAATCCTCTGCAGCGTTTGGCCTCTTTTAGAAGAAATCGTGCGAGCCTCTCGCGTGGGACAGTATGCATCACACACTCCCCCAACCCTCGCCCACAATAGGATTTCTTTTCACGCGGGCTCGCGCGAGCGAGTGAAACCGAGTTGGACAAATTTTGGTCTGAATAAGGAATGAAAATTCCGCATTTATTCATGAGAATATAAACAAATGAATCCCTCGGGAGCTCACCGCGGAGAGTTAGCTTACCATGCTAAAAATCATGGCTACCTCAAACTAGATTGCAACGTGACTGCCAGAATGTTTGCTTTAGCAAAATGTATTCTATAGAAATTAATTAACCTTTTCGAAGCCGTTCTACTTCTACGAAAATAAGGGTTTCTTCGTAAAAATCGCGAAGCAGCGAGGCACGAAATAATTTTTCGGTCGGAACAGCGAACACTCAAACTGCAAAGTTTCATGAAAGTCGGTGGTGTGACTGTTCGCAGTGTTCCCTCGTGAATCGCGGTCACTCGCGTAATCCCATCTGAAAGAGATCTTTCTCGCGATCGGCCGCGTGATCCACGCTCCCTGGAACAGAATCACGGTGTCGAATGCGAGGCACGATATCGCCTGACCGTAGGCGAATCCGCAGATAGAGATCGGATTAGTATTCCAAGTTCTTTTCTGCCTGGAGTGCGGCGACTGGAGTGCGAGGAAATGGCTCGTGTTGAGTAAAAGTTTAATCGATTCTGAAAACGATTCGCGTGATTACACGGAGTTGCGCGCCCGGGAAATTTATGATTAGGTTGTATACCGCGTGATAACGGTTTTCGCTGAACATAGAAGTAGAAATTTTACGGTTAGGCGTGTTCGTTTACAACAGGAATGAAAACGTCGTATCGCCGCGTGTAAGAGTCTGTAGCATCCACCCGCGGAACTTTTACGATGATAATAATACGTCTTTACTGGCCAGAGATTGTACACTTTAAGATATTCAATACTCGGTAAATAGGAAATGATAGTTAACGCGCGAATAAAAATACTTGTCTTTAATCGCGCTCGTGTCATCACGGAACAGCTAGTGCAAATCGTACGGCTGTTGAATCGCCTAGATCCTAGATCCATTTCTTCCTGCAATTTTTCGCGCAGGGAGTTCGCAATAATTTATGAGACGACTCCCAGGTGGCTGAGCGTTACATGTACAACCATGCCTTACAGGCTGGGTATGTCGTAAGATTTGCCGAAGCTTCCACTTCGTCTTCCGAGAATGATCACACGAGAGGAACTCGAATTCCTCGAGTTATTCGGTTCCTGTTCAAATTCCTGGCGAAACAAATTCGTTTCGCTTTAAAGCTCCTGGGTTCTTATCGACCAGGCGAAAATTGTTACGATAAGTAAAAACTCATTATTTTTGTGTAAATTTCTTTCCGACGTGTGTTCGTATAAAATCTTCCATATTCTAGAGCCACGGCTGAGCTTTACATTAATTAGAATTCTCGGAACCAGCTGAGGCGTTAGTTCGCTTTACTTTATGCTTGAATTATAACGGAATCGAGGAGGAGAAAAACAAAAAGCGAGCAGTGTCCGTTTACATTGAATTACGCGACTTTGCGCTGCTCAGATACCGTGACAGCATCCATAAAAGGAAAAGGTTAATGGGACGTCGTAAAGCTTCGAGTCGAAGGAGGAGAATCGATTTGAAAATCGTTCCGCGATTGCCCAACGATATTTACACGTCAGCGAAACGATATTGCCAAGAGGTGTTATTATTAAATTCATAATTACAAGTCTCTGGAATAACTGGATTTGGATTAAAGAATTTAAGTGATGATCTTGCACGTCGAAATTATTTGAGTAATTTCTTGAATTCCTGGACAAATGAAAAGTTGAGAAAACACGATTAGAATTGAAGATCCTGCCTGATCCACGCCTGATTACGTTGTCCAGTTACGGTGACAGTCTTGGAAGAGAAGAGGTTAAGGAGGCGTCGTAAAGCATCGACTCGAATGGAAAGAATCGGTAACCCCACGAGGAACATCTCTTACGGTGGTTCCGCGATTGTCCCCGAAATCTATGGCTCGGTGAAACGATATCTCGAGGAGTTATTGTCCGCCGCGTAGGAACTTAAATATCTCAGACAGGCGAACTTGTAATCCATCATCCACCCATCGGAGCCGAACGCGACGCTTTCCGTCGAAATGGCCGAGGTTCGCCGATGCCAAGAAACCGGAAATGATATTCCTTCGTTCCGGAGATAAACATTGTTATCCTTTCATGCAACAGTCGTATTACCGCGTCGTCAAATCCGATCGTGACAGTTAAACGTTTACTACAGCGAAGCGCGAATGCATTTTCGAGACCGGACTTTTACGGAAGCCATCTTTGCGAAGTGCTCGTCCGATTATTTTATTTCGCTTTCAGACGGGGCAAAACGGTATAAAATTGAGTCAGTTATTTTAGCCACGGAAGTCGTAAAGAAAATGTTTGGACAAGAAACGTAAACAGAATTTTATGCAGCAATCGTAGAGAAGCAATATGATATCGCTTTTCTTTTATGGATCCACTGTTATATACAAACTTCGTGAAATCCATTTTGTAATTGGCGATTTCGACTAAGTCTTGAGAAATCTACAACAACACATTTAATATCACTTTTTATTATCAAAATAATAGCCTCGATTATACATCCGTATTACTCGAGCAAATTTATCGACATATATTTTCCCTTCGAAAACTACCTTTTATTCTATCTACCCCAGAACGTCTTCCCCATCTCTGGAAGACGGCCCGGAAATGGCTGAGGAGCGCGCGAATTTCGTAGCGAAGCGTCGAGCGTTTCCGCGTTAATGAACGCAAATAATTGCGCAGCTCGACGTGGAAGTTTTTTCCAACTACGCGTTCGATCAATCGACTCTCAAAGGAAGCGACGCGGTGGTGGGTTTCAGACGAAGAAACCCTGGCCGGCTCGAGGCAAACGTTAACGAGCGCCGCACAGAGCGGATCAATGGCAATTGCTCGCACGCTCCTCGCAGTTTTTAATATTTCTCTCCTCCTTTGTGTCGTTCGCCGTTGCGCGGAGTCGTTCGCATCTGGCGAAGAATTGAATGCTGTCTGCCAAAGGCGCAACGCGTTTAATATCGCGGAATGAGAAGGAAACTGGCCCCCGGTCGCAGAATGGCGGCCAAAGGAAAGACGATAATGACGAAACATGGACGGGGTCGACGTTGATTGACCCCGGCGAGAGCCAAAGTGGATGAAAAGGAAATGGGATAATGACAGCGAATTGCGGGTCTCTGAATATCGAGTCCCTGGACCTCGAATCAGACCCACACGCGAGAACTTTCCTCTAACTTCGTTGCTATGTCGAAAATGGGAAATTACTTTTAACATTTCGAACACTATGGATGCGTACGTGCGTTTCTTAATTTTCCCAATTATCGGCGCATGAGAAGAATTCACCAACAAGCAGAAATAATGAAAGTTGGAAATCTCGTCACAGAGAGCTGCGGTCGTGCTAATGAACTGCTAACGAAAGTGATACTATACCCTGTCCTTTGACTTCGTCGGTTAAATCGCTCCTGTATCAAATGAAATCAGAGCTTTGAACTTTACCGTTTGACAGTGGAACACACTGGCAAGTAAATAATATCCACCTATGTGACGAAATAGAATTCTCGTCGTTATAGAGTTTCATAGAGGCTTAAATAAAAAAAAAAGAAATTTTAGATAAAATTCATCCTAGTTTCGAAGAACTAACGACCTGCCAACGAACGAGTTACTCTATCCTTTAACTACGTCTGTTTAATCTGCTCGTAATTAACGTTTTTCTTTAAAACATGTTCACTTAATCCTTCTCTTTACATTTAGGCAAACTTTTTCGCTTTACCAATAAGCGTGGCGGAAACTTAAATTACTTCCCTCCTATTGCGATCCAGCATTGGATAAACTGCGCCCCCGTGCACGCGTGACGGATCCATGCCTCGCAGCTAAATTAAAACTTATCAGGTCGGAAGAACCGACTGATTGTCGTAGCTGTCGAAATTTAAAATATGCCATTGCTGAAAGGGACGAGTGGAGAAGGGAAAGGGAACGAGAGGGAGGAATATATGAAGTCCGAAGTGCTTCATCGAATATTTCGCGAATGAACCCTCGACAAAACGTGATGGATTTTTAAACGTGCCCCCGATATTTCCGCTCGATCATTTTCCGATCCAATAAACAGTGACGAGGTATCCCCGCGCGAGCGAGAAAATGAGCTGGCCTTTTTACCTGAATGGAATCCTTGCCAGTCTCGCGTAGAATATTCCGTGGCTGCGTGTATCCGGGACCATTGCTGTACAACAACGTTGTATACGGTTGTCCATCAACATCCGACACCTTGCTATCAGAACCTGCGGGCAAAGAAGAGCACGCGATGAGGTCATCAATCAGAGGAATATTATCGGTGAACGCGTAACGGATAAAGGGCCGGCGATTAAGAGATTTTTAGGGCCGACTACTAACCCAGAAACGTCGCCTGGCGAGCAGACATCCGTTTGGGAGCGACCAAGCTGAAACCGATAAAAATCGGTTTTCTGCTGGAGTCTTTCAACCCTTCGAGCTCGGATGTCTTCTCTGAAGGGACACGATGATAATCAGTTCGAAAATGGTTAAATTATTCAGGCGTTAACTTTCTCGTTGAATTGTTGCGATTCAAAGTATCGATCCCTCCAGCTGATGTTCCGGAATGTATGGAATAAAATGACTAAATATATATTGCTACGCTTTCCACGCCTAAATAAAAATCAAGGAAAAGTGCATAAAGTAGTATTCACGAACTCGTATCTCAGCGTTGGTACATCCCACCGACTACTTCTACTGCGAATTCTAAAGACAAGAATTCTACAAACTTCTTGTATACGCGTTCCGTGGTCGAAGAAAACGCTGCGAAGTCCCTCTTGCAAATATTTTACACATTCCCCCGTTCCGTAACTCCGTAAGTCTTCCAGAAATAACCGAGAAATAAGCATCGAGCACGGGAGGGGCTACAGAAACAAAACGTTCCCTAATGAGCTCGAAACTTGGGAAGCGAAGGAAAATAAAGCTTGGCCAACGAGCTCGAGCGGTGGCGAGGAACGCAGAAGGCACTCGCAAACGTTGAAACATTCAAACCGTTCTCAGCCTCGAATCCTCTTAACCATTCGCGAGGATCGCATCGGTCGCTCCGAAGTCACACCCCTCGAACAATGAAAAAGAAATTCATCCGTAAATTCAGCGGAACGCGAGAGATCGTCGAACGAATTAAACGTTGTTTCAACTAGGATCGTCGCGCGATGCCACGGACGCTGCGAAACATTAATTGTCCGGAAATACCGGTGCCGTCGTTTCATGAATAAGTGGCCGTGCTCGTCGCGAGACAAAAGTTGCGAGGGAGAAGAAAAAGCTGAGAAGAAGACGACCGGAGAGCCAAGGGAACCGGAAGAACGGACTCTAGGACATGACCGCCGGTGATATGTTTTATTCAGAAGCGTTCTCCTCCTTCGCCAGGGACCTTCAAAAATAGACCGTCGCCATTTCGCGCTGTCTGTTGTTTAACAATGTATAATTTAACCGTTCATTTGCCGTGGAAATACGCAGTCCGCATCGAGGAGCGTTGTTTCGCTTTAAAAGTCTCGAAGAACTTTCCTCGAGCTGCATGCATATAAGTGGCGCGGGGGAGTATGGCTGGTTTTTGGGATAGCGTACTACTAACTACGATTCTACTTCCGATTTAAACACTCGTCGATATAGAGAACAACACGCAGGCTTTAGTAGAACCATAAAAAATTGTCTGCATAAGACCTAGACAGTTATTGGAAAAAGAGCTCGCGTGATCTACCCGTAAATAAGGTCTATCTTCTACATTGTATCTCGTTTATCGGTTAAATTAAACGACAGTATTCGCCGTGGGAATTGGAGTCCCCGGCATCATTCACGGTGCCAACTTTACGCGAAAGTGCACAGCAGTATCTTCCATAACATCGACGTCTTGAAAATTGAAAAGCCTATTCTGGATGATTGAACCGGTCCCCCTACCCCGACGCAGACCTACCAGCAATAGAAACGCCATTTCCTCGCAAATAATGTCAAGAACGAGGGAACGTTTTCGCTTTATCCTCTTTACTATGAAATTAATTGAATCGATCGTAGACCTGTAATTCCTAACGTCGAGTCCATGATGCGGCTTCGGATGGCTCTGGATTTAAGCGTTTCCCGATAGATGCCGCTCGGGGTATTAAAACAATTACCAAAGTAATCGTGGAACTCGATTATTAAATTATATATATCGGAGCATTTCATCGAAGGGATGGTTTCGGCATTAATATGTATGGTTCGAAATTGCTCGATTGCGATGTAACAAATAAATTGTATTTAGCGAGGAATGGTACAATGAAATAATTACTGAAATAGCGTTAAGCTGGCGGCAAAATTTAGCGAAACGCGAGTCGTGTTTGACGTGCCTGACCTCGCCCCAAAGGTAATAATCCCCCTTTTCTTGTAACCGTACAATTATTTAATGCACCGCGACGCAAGCTCTTGGAAATTAGTAACTAATGCACTTTGGTGGTCGTCGATGCAGTATACTCTTGCTTAACACGCTTTTTCCGCATTAAAGAAACGTCGAGCATCGTTTTCGTTCCACGGTCGAGCAAGCGCTGAATAGCGAGGCTCGGATCGCCCCGTGGCCGACACCATAATGCTTTATGTAATACAGTTGAGCCGATTACCCGTCGATGTTCTGCCATTAAATATTAATTACCGCGTCGGAACACTGTGCATTAGAGGGGAGGCGTAGGGTAGTCCACGGGAAACAATCCGAAAAGCTAAACATAGACAGGCAAACACACGTTGGACGAAGTGAAATCTAGGTCGATAACAGAAGCGCAGCTGCCGCAATCCAACAAAAGGAACTCGTTTCGCGTCTTCTATTTCGAAGGAATTGCGTGGCCTCTACAAAAGAATCGAAAATAAGAGTTCGAAGAGTTATCGTTATTCAACGTTACGGCGCCTCCAATTATTTACCATACAATCGGCGAGGCAATTGTTCTCGCTGAGAAATAAAAAAGGAAACTCTCCGATAACGGAACATATTATGAATTATTTCTCGCGATGATAGTTGGAATATTTCTTACGATCTCTCGACGAAAGATAATTATCTATTTACTTTCAGTTCCCGGGCTCCAAAATTGTATTTTTATGGATTCAGATATCACTGAAAATGTTCGAAACATGAATTTTGAAGCGAATAAAATTCATTTGAATTCTCCATTCGGTGTAACCAATTTGAGAATAACGTTATAGAAATAATTTGTTACCTTCGGCGAAAAAGTACATTCTTCCATTCGCAGTAGCACGTTCAAAGTGACTTTATAATCATGACTGTCAATTATAATTTCCATCGGGAAAAGTAAAACCATTTAAAGTTCCCACTCGCCAACCTTTCGTATAAAATTAAATCAGCTCTCAACTCTTTTGAAAATGACATTACAATCCAATTGTGCTTCGGTACATTAAATCTAATCGAAGTACGAGGAAAGATGATTAAACTTCGCGACTTTGCACGATTCATTGCCAAATAAATATGTTCTGTTTCACTCTGAATTGCTTAAACGCGGAAAACAAAAGCGAACTGTGAATCAATAATTAATCTTCGTTTCCTGGACGTTTTAATTTTGATTTCCAAAAGGAGGATAAGCGATCGAAAAGTTCAAGGTGAGAGCGGAAACACGACAAAAAGGCGTCGAATCAATACAGTGCTGAATATTTGAGGGGAATGCAGATTTATAGCGACACCGGTCGCATTCAGCTGCGTCGGAGAAAACAGGAGAGCAAAGAGCCATAAAGGGACCTCCGGAGTCGAAGAGGTTCGGGACGCGTGGTTTTACGAGTTCTCCTCGTCAGCGAATGGAAGCTTCGAATAAATTACGCTCTTTAGAAATTCCCTTTCGCGGATTTCTTGGCTGAATGCAGGAACATCGAGCCAGAAGTCTTTACTCGACACTTGCGCCAAAGAAAGTATGCGCTTTGGGCGTTGCAACCCTCTTCCATCTAACTTTCCTGTCTCTACGGGCACCCCACACGACCATAATTAACCCTGACTTGCTGAAATTGCGTCTTGCAAAGGTTGCAGCTTCTATGGTCGTCGTTGTCCGTATATTTGCGTTACATGTACAGTACTGAATTATTTCGGTATAGCCAGACATGATTAAATGGAACATCTACGAGTGACAAGACATCTCTGGGGTCCAATTTCATTAACCAACGTTTAATGTTGGCTCTCGTCGTGCTTTGATCATAGTTGGTAAAAGAGACGGTCGGCTAACGTATTGGCAACCATCGATGACTTCGTGCCCTGTCGAGAAATGCAGGAAAGTAGTACATTCGAGAATTCTCTACGAATTGAAGTCACTGGTTCTCGCTTCGTTCACGAACGCGAGTTCAATCGCTGCTTTGAGCTGTTCGGTGTGTCGATAAGAGACAGGTTTACTTTCGCGAGCAAAATATTCCCTCTTGGAGTAACATTAGAGAGTTTCGAAAGCGCTGCTTCTCCACTTTTCTGCGACCACCATCGCTAAAGAAGGATGTAATTGAATGTCCTACTTAACAGTGGGGAATCAAATGAGGAGACAAAATGACGCGAAAGTGGTGGATAGATAAGAAGAGAAAGCGAAAGAACTAGCATAGCTTCTACTGGACCAGTGTGTTGACGCATTCGTAAAGCAACCTAGCACCCTATCTTGCCACACAGGGAATGTATATGAGGGGTGGCGAACCGAAAACTTGCAGGAAAGGGGTCAGTTAAATGGCTCCCGGTGGCGATTGCCAGACGTGGCGCTATAGACTCTGAGACCCAACTGTAGCACGTTGAACTCGAAGAACTTTGAGTAAACAAAACCACGTGATGGGTCAGGACTCTGAACCGCAGGAGTCGTGGTTCGAATAGTTGCGGGCACAACAGTGTCCGTATCTTTGTCCTTCTCTTCGACTATTCCTACTTAAACGTTTAGCAACCTAATCGTAAATTTTACGACTCCTGTAATAACATTCACCCGCGACCAGGCATGAAGCGTGAAAGCTTAGCGAATAATAAAGTCGTTTGGTACCAGGAAAGAACGGAACCACCGGAGGTTATGTAAACAATCTTCCCCAGCGAGACAAGGCTATCGGTGAGCCCATCTCTTCGTGAGATGTGTTAATACCGCAGGCCTACCGGTAGGAACTACCCGACGACGACACCGAGGGCGATTTAAGTGCGCTTATCGGTAGTCGGGCGATTTATCAACGTAAATCCTCCGACAATTGCTGTCAGACGTTGGCAGGCCGAGCGCGCAATAACCTTCTCGCGTCGCTGTTATCCGGGGTCGTTCTCGGA